TGGGCAATTAGGGATGGGCAATAAATGCTGGCCTGGCCAGTGACGTCCTCATCCCGTGAACAAATGAAAGAAAAGAAATTGCCCTCTTAAGCTGAGAGCCAGAGAAAAGCTAGAGCACAGAGAGTCACTATTCAGCCCAATAAGCTAAACACCCTTCTCTTCACACCCTGGTCTGTAACCTTGCCGCTAAGGGCCAAACCCCTGTTCTTTTCCAATGAGTCGAGGGTTTCAGCTCATCCTCCAAATCAGGCAGCAAATTCCAGACTCCCACCTGCCTCTGGATGAAAATGATTTTCTTTTCACCTCATGTCTCCTCTAAACCTGGTGCTGATTGCTTTAAATCTGTGCACCCTGATAATTGACTTCTCCCTGTCCACTCTTATCCAAGCCCCTTGTTCTTTTGTACACGTCAATTTAATCTCCCTTTAGCCCCCTCCAAAGCAATCCTTGCCCAGCCAGTCTTTCCTCATGGTTTTCAATGTTCAAGCCTTGGAAACACTCTAAAGACAGCAAGAACTGCCAATGCTGGAGTCAGAGATAACACAGTGTGGAGCTGGAGGAACACAGCAGGCCAGGCAGCATCAGACAGCAGGAAAGTAACTCTCCTCTGCACTGTCTCTAGAGCAACAATGTCCTTCCTGTAATATGGTGTGAACAGAATGGAGTACACAACTGTATCTGTGGTCTAACCTGCTTTTGTGCTCAATATCTCTCTTGTCTGCGACACTGTGAGCAGTTTTGCTCCTCTTATTTAAAGAAAGATATTATTTCACTGGAGGCAGTTCAGAGAAGATTGTCTAGGATGATCCCTGGTATGGAGGGATTGCTTTATGAGCAAAAATTAAACAGGTTGGGACTGTAATCTCTGGAGTTTTGAAGAATGAGAGGTGGTCTCATTGAAAAATATAGGATTCTTAAGGGGTTTGACAGGGTAAATGCTGGGAGGATGTTTCCCCTCATGGGAGAGTCGAGGACCAGAAGGCATAGTATCAGAATAAAGCGGCACCAATTTCAGACTGAGATGAGGAGGAATTTTTTTTCTCTCAGAGGTTTGAGAGTCATTGGAACTCCCAGCCACAGGGAGAAATGGGAACAAAGTCCTCGTGTTTATTTAAGGCTAAGGTAGATTTTTGATTGGGAGGGAATCAAGAGTTATGGGGAAAGGGCAGGAAAGTGCACATGAGGAATATCGGAAATAGCCATGATCCAATTGAATGGCAGAGCAGGTTCAAGGGGCCGAATGGCCTCCACCTGTTGCTATTTCTTACAGACTTACTATCAATCCTTGGGTTAATGAGAATCACAGTAAACTCAGCCTGAAACTTTCCATCGAGTATGGATTAAACAGCGATGAGAGGCTACATTGCAACGCATAGATCATTTACACTTTAAGCCATCTTAAATACCATACAAAGCTTCAGATAAAAGCTCACTCACCACTGTCCAGGAGAGGCAAGATCCCACAGAGCAACAATTGCAAGTACCCCATCACAGAGACTGGTGAAACCGATCGAGGTTAAAGTCACTTCTTGGGGGAGGTGAAATTTCTATTTAAACTGAGGCTCAAGGTGTGAACCCTTTAAATTCCCAGCAAGGTACTGAGTGAGATCACAGAGCACAGCAGGGCTCACTGCAACCTCCAGCTGGACTGGGACTCTCACACTGAAAACTCTTGTTCCCACCCATTCAGCTCCCCGCCTTCCAGCTCCAACAGCATTGTTGTCTTGGAACTCCCCCACAGGTGAGACGCAGCCTCGAACACAATGACCACTCACTGTTTCCCCAATTCTCAGGCCTAAACTGCACCCAAAACTTGAGTTTGTCTGTAATGTGGATGCTGCAGGACCATTCAAAACACTGCTTCCTGTTTTTGACACAGAATCCCACAACAGTCTTCATCTCAAAATCATTCACAATACAAGAAGACAGCCCAGACTATGTTGAACAATTTATTTATGCAAAACACAGACCAATACAGCACGGAAACAGGCCCTTCGGCCCACAATATTGTGCCGAACATGACATCAAATTAAACTAATCCCTTCTGCCTGCTCTTGGTCCATATCCCTCCATTCCTTGCATATTCATTTGCTTATCTAAAGCCCCTTAAATGCCATTATTGAATCTGCCTCCACCACCTGGCAGCACGTTCCAGGTATCTACCACTCTCTGTGTAAAAAATGTACTCCTCACATTTCCTTTGAACTTTGTCCCTCTCACCTTAAATGCATGCCCTCTAGTAATTCAACTCTGGGAAAAAAGATTCTGACCGTCAACTCTATATATGCCTCTTGTAATTTTACAAGCATCTTTCAGGTCTCCCCTTAGCCTCCACAGGCTTATGCTCACTAGTTACATGTTGCACAATTTCAGAAGTGCAAGGTAGTGAACACCTCAATGAGCCACCTTGCTCATTGAAAGAGTGAGGCTTTATTCACTGCCAATAGGCTACAACTAAAGGAACAGACAGCACTTAAACTGCGAGAAGGCTGAGAAGCATCAGTGCGGATATGTTACCATTCCAATGATATTTCGGCATTTCAAACACCAATAAGCCAATTAGCACTTAATTAATGGCACATCATTTCTAGGAATTGGTCTGCAATATCCTGTAGCTCCCAAGTCCCAGACACTGCATTTCAAACCATAACCAGACACAGTCTCTCCACTCTTTTTTTAATTTTTGCTTTCTATGTTCAAAGTGTTATCAGACACACAGTTGTTTTATCCTCCATCACCCAATCAAACGGTATTTCTCACCCACAATGAAGTCTCAGGCTCTGCATTTTGGATGGTAATTAATACCATTGTAATGGCAAAATAAAACCTGAACTTTTCAAAAAAAGATTACCCACTCTTTCTCTCTCCCTATCTCTCTCTGCAGCTTCTCTGCACTGTGACACTGTATCCTGCACTCTGTTCTGTTACCCTGATGCGCTTGTATTTAACGTAAAGCACATAAGACAATACTTTTCACTGTGTCTCTGTGCACATGACAGTTAACAAGTCAAAAATCAAAACCAGGAACTCACCTGCGTTTTCCAATTAATTAATTTACATGCAAAGCCCTTTAAAGATAATGCACGCTATCACAGTTGAGGGAGAGATGGGGAGAGTGGGAAGGGGCTAAATCAGAATGGAGTTGGAGAGGGATATAAAGCACTGTATCCCCCGAAGTGTATGCCTTTCTCTAAAGGCATCAAGAACACTGAAGGACACCCAGGCTCAAATGTAATCGTGATGGAGGGTCAGGGAGTTGGCAGGGACAATGGCCTCCATGGCTCACTGCCTGGGCCTGTTTATAGCCAGCCTGGCCAGGCCCAGGAGCAGGCTCATGAGGATGTCCTCCAACCTGTCCCCACCCCTCCACACCAGGTGCCCAAAGATCCAAGAGTATGGGGCTGAAGGGCAATCAGAAGGTGTTTCAAGTAACTGAAAAGGGGACTCAAAATCCTAACCACACCCCTCATTGTTGCCAATCATTCACAATCCGTGTGCTCTGCATCTCAACCGTCCGACAGCACAAATACCTTCTTCGCTTCTGTCAGAGCCCTTGCTGGTTTTAAACAGCCGCCTCGTATCTCTCTTTAACCTGCTGTACCCTGAGGAGAACAAGTCCAGCTGCTCCATCTATCAAATACCCCATAGCGCTGGTTCCCATGACGACCGTGATCGATTGTTGTAAAAGAAACGCATCTGGTTCACTCACGTTCTTTTACGGAGGAAAATCCCTCACCTGGTCTGGCCTACATGTAACTCCAGACCCACAGCAATGTGGTTGGTTCTTAAACTCTTCTCAAGGGCAATTAGGGATGGGCAATGAATGTTGGCCTTGCTAGCGATAGCCATGTCCCACAAAAGAATAAAGAGGAGGAAACATGGCTGAAGCAGTCCATGCTGCGTTTCACTCGTAAACTCCACACCGACCTATTCAACTCACCTACTGCTCACCTACTACCTCCATGCCCCATTAGGAGCTGAACAAGATCCGCTGCCAACATCCTGCGGACCAAGGCATAAGGAAACACAGCTAGTCTCTCACAGATTCCCTGGGACCGACCCCATCTGGTGAATGGCAGGTTTTGAGCTCTTACAGTGACAGTGGTCCTTGTATAGTGACGGGGCCCCTGTGCAGCCAACCTCTACCACAGAGGCCCAGCTAAAACCCTGCATTCACTTGTGGAGACACACAAACAATGCTGTACATTCCCGAGAAGTGACTGAACGAGATGGGAGGGGTCAAATCATCTTCAACTCAGCAACTGAGGAGGCTCTGGAGACTTGCATTCACTCTTTGGTGGTACAGAACTTGAGAAGAGCGAAATGAAAAGCACATTCTTTTGAAGCTTTTCGTCTTGCATTCATCAGGACAATAAGCAAGAATGCAAGGGGGAAAAACCAACATGACTGCTGCATGATGGGAAGAGTGCTGATCGGCATTCTTTCTAGACTGAAAGAAAATGTGTGCGCAATGCCTACTTCAACTCAACAAAATCAGTGACAGCCAATTGTTTGTTTATTCCCCAGAGTAATGCCCTGACCAGTGGGAGTGGTTTCAAATTTAAACAACCTGGCAGTTAACTGTCGATCGTCGTTGACAGGTGCGTTCTCCATGGCAAACTCTCTACGGAACTGAGTCCACTTGCAACCAATCAGCACACTCCTCTCATGCAGCGTAAGTGTTGGATTTCCTCTTGTATTAGTATTCTTGTGAATGGTCTTCATGAGTGCAAGATAAGAAAGCTTTGATAAGTCATATCTTTTTTTCAGCAATAGTCAGTTTATGAATAAACATTTTCAAGATGCTATTGATCAGATGCAGCAGAACAAAAATAAAAAGTTTTGGAATAAAATATCTCCATTTATTACAAGAACAATATTTACATTTCCTGTGTATTAATATGCAAGAGTCGTACTAATGGATATTTAGTTGAAACTGGACACAGGCAAGTACCACTTGATGAATATTTATACAATCCTGACGCTCTCTTCTTGCAATGTTATTGATTATCTTTCTGCACCAATCGGAAAGCCTCCAGAAACTCATTGAAATCTATGCTGCCATCCTTGTTGAAGTCAATACTGCGAGCCAGATCATCAATACACTCATCGTCCATGTCGATGTGCAGGTGGGAACTGAACAATTTCCAGGTCTGGCGAAATTCCTCAATGGAGATCATTCCTGATGGGGAAGAGTTTGGTGGTTGATTAGTTGGCATGGTAACTGTGTTCCTTTACCATACAGCTTTGAGGGCACACTTCCCTGCCCCCCACCCCACGATGGAATCTGCTCAATTGAGAAAGGGAATCCCGTCCATACGCACCATGCAGCAGCTTGAACATCCCAGACAGAGTTTTCAACAAAGGGTCTCAGGAACTCAACTGACTGCCACCAACCATCCCATGCTCTCCCTCTCTCTACCTTCACTCCCTCTTCCTCTACCTTCACTCTCTCTCTCTACCTTCATTCCCTCTGTCTCTATCTTGACTCCTTGCCTCTCTCCACCTTCACTTTCCCATCACTTCCCCCCATCTTCACTCCCGCATCGCCACCCCCCACACCCCCATACCCCTGTTCCCACACATCCCACACTGTCATTACCGACACCCAGAGCCCCACACCCCTACAACCCAATCACCTACATCCTACACACTCACACCCTACAGCCCATTCCCCGCACCCCTCCCCCTAACTCCCCCATACTATTGGTTGCCCACATGCCAATTTGGCTAATGCCCTGCCTTTCTGCACCAGCTATGTCGTTCATTGCTCTGATTGGACAATCCCTTGCTGCCAGTCAATAACATCTTCTCCATCCCCAGTACACTTCAAACCGAATTAACAAAAGTGTGGCAAGAATTCTTTTCGATAAGGCAACTTTAGAATGGCCACCCTCAGGATCTGCTATCCTGAGAATACAATTGGAATTGTCAGGGACTCACTTCTGGGCATTCCAGGAGAGTTGCCAACTCTGTTTTATACTTTACTAGTGCCAGTACATCTGCTGGCATTGGCTGGAAATTGGTAAACTTGTGCTTTATTGGAACAGAGGGATCTTATATATTACCATCATTTCCTTATTAGGGATACCAATCTTAAATGCTATTTCATCCTATAATTCTAACAAATATGGCACCGTATCTCTAATTTAGGGTAAAATGAAGGGTGTCATGTGACAGACCAGGGTGGTAGGCATTGATTCAAAGGATGCTTTGCTGGAAAGAGGGTGTAAGATGTTCACAGCTGGAGTCGGTGGCAGCAGCACTTGTGTTTCTAATGGTTGGACTCTAGATCTCCAAAATACTAAAAATATGTTCACGTCATCAGGGTGTAAACAGGTGCACTTTAAACTGTCATTGTCTTCAAAGATAAAAGACATTCAGGGTCTCAAGGATAGTTAATCAGCATTTCAGCCTGGATACAAGGCCCATGTGATTCACATTGCCACAAAGATATCTTTGGAAATATCTCTGGAAAGTCATAGATGGGTAATCAGCCCAGGATATCAGAAAGCAATAGAGGACAGCTGGATCTTGACAGTCTATGGTTCACCATGCAAGTGGGAGGTCATGCTTAGATTGAAAAGATCACATTCCCTGAGGATATCAGATGAGGCTGAGAGGGCAGATTTCCAAGAAAAACCCTCAACATGAAAGATAGCTCTGGAGTTACATGTTACCAGGCTGGGAATGGAAAGGAAGAAATATAAACAATTTCTTATGAATCATGTTGGACTAGAATGGGAAGAATTTAATGTTTACTTAAGGAACTGTGTACTGTACAATTGTGAAATGAGTTTTTCCATAGTATTAACAGTTTCAGGGGAAGTTGTAGTTCTGTAGTTTAAAGGCTAAATTCCTGACACAAATATTGTGCAGTTCATTTTGCTCATATTCTATTTGTTACAGAAAAAGTCTTAAAAACATTGTGTCATTCTTTCAGTTTGACTGTAAATTTGAATTTGAATTAAACGTTTTGTTCTTTCTGGGAATCATTAACAGAATTGATATAAAAGTTGAACTGATATTTTGGTTTACCTGAGTGATCTTCATCAATCATTCCAAAGATGATTTCCAAGTCTGCCCGATGCCGGTACATAGTCTCAATCAGGTTTGGTTGAACCTGCATATTAAACTCAGGCAGTCAGCGCAGTTAAATGTCTGTTGTTGAACACTTTTTGTACTTCAAGCCACTGTTACTCATTGTAAATCATTATCAGTGCATACAGCTCAGCTGTACTCTGGTGTCCAGATCAACATTTATCACTCAAACAAAATCACGCAAACATTATCTGGCCATTGTCACACTGTTGTTTGTGGGATCTTGCTATGCATCAGTGGGTAGACCCATTTCCTATGTTACAACAGCGAACGGCATTGCAAACATTCGCTTCCCCAGCTGCCAATCACTTTGGGAAATCCTAGGGTTGTTAATTGGATGCAATACATAAATATAAGTCTTTACTTTTCAGCTTGGCATCATACCCAAAAGAGTTGGTGGGATTCCTTTTATTAAAATCTGTGTAAAAACCTCAAGCCGTCACTGCTGCCCTGTGGTGGTTACATCCTCTCGACTGCTTTGAGGAATGGGATTTCGACCCGTGTCCCGGTCGGATGTGGGGAGTAGGGACACAGCTGAAGTTGAATAATCTCCATTTCAATCCCTCGAACATCAAAACCCCACACTGTGTGGTTTCCACAGAGTACTGTGAAAGTACCATGCAAGGTACGTGTTGAGATCCCACTGAGCTCATACACAGGAACCGTCTGGAAAGCGTAAACATCAGAGGGGCAAGTGTCTGGTGCCTACACAGTAGACCCCCCAGTTTGGAGTTAGAGTACCCAGAGGGTCCTGATGTACTTAGCTGGACATTGGGCCAGGGAACGTTCAACTACACTCTGATCCATCACATTCTTGATTCCCGCTACCTCAGCCTCACAACTACTACCCCATTACCTCCTCAACTCTCAAACCTACCACCGCATCCTCCCTTTGCAGTCGAAACTACCCCCTATTATCCCTTCCACCCTTGACCCTACCTCCCATTCCCCTGACCCTCACAACTACCACCCCATCAACCCCTTGAATCTAGCCTCACTCCCCTCACCCTGTCACCTACCCCACATCTCTCCTCACTCACTCGCCTACCCCCGCACCCCTCTTCCACACACCTACCCCACCCCCCCACACACCTACACTCCCCATCCCTCTCACCCACACACCTACCCCATCCGACCACCCCGATCCACCTACTCCATCCCACGGCCCCACACACCTACCCCCATCCCAACCCCTACTCCCCTACCCTATCACCCCTCACCCACACACTTATCCCCCATCTCCTTCCCACCCTCACACCTACCAACATGCCCCACCCCACTCCCCACAAACCTACTCTCTCACACACCTAACCCCACCCCCACTCACACCCATGTAGCCCTTTGCCCTCACATACCTATCTGCCTTTCTGCCCCCTTTTACTGACATACCTTCCACACGTCCCCTTTGCTCTAGGTACCTCCACGGGTGGGGGCTCTGTGACATGGAATCCATGTTGCCTAGCTGGGAAACTGCAGCTACTGCTGTGAAATGCGGCCTGTGGTTTTCCAGCAAGCCTGTCCAGGCTACTACCCAGGAAGAACATTCCACTACATTGCTAATGAACGACCCTGCGTCGTAAGATCCTGAGGTGATAAGTAGGTAACCTTGTATCTGAACTGGGTCAGAAATCAGGATCCTGATCCCAACTCAAATTTTCAGAAATAGAGGTTCTGAATGAAAGGTTTGGAGAAAGAGTGATGGATTGAGACAAATTGAACAGGGACAAGTATTGACTGTAAACAGCCTCTGATAATTTATGGTAACTTGTGACCTCTGACCCCTGCTCCCCTAATGTTCTCCAAGAGAGAAAAAAAAGATGATCTCCTAAACCAGTTGGAGCTGGGGAGGGGTAAAAAATTGCCAGCAATGAAATCATATAAAAGAATTGCAGGGCTCAATGAGAAGATAGAGGAAGGAAGTTTTGCCAGGGGGCAGGGGTGGTGGACAGGGCCTAGTAGTAGGGGACACAAGCTCAGAATAAAGACAGGGCCCTTCTCATAGTAATCTCAACAATCACCAGCAATTTAAAAGGCTAGGGTAGTTATCAGGGTAAATGACACACTCCTGTATCAAAGCTTTATATAAATGTTGTGCTTTTCCCTCAAGAGGATTCAGACTTTGTTTTGTTACTGCGGTCAGATTTCTTAAAGCCAAGGAACCATTATTTTGGTTTCACCTCTCTCATGGGCTGCTCAATCTGGAGATCTTCAAAGCTGGAAAGATAATCCACACTGCCCTCAGCATCGACCCGCACCAGCCTGGAGCGTAGAGTCCTCCAGGGGAGGTGTAAATGGAGCACCGATTCCACAGCCGATGCCCACTGACTGGTAGAAATCTTCCCTGTAAACAAAACCGCAGTGACAGGAGTATTAGGGCACAGACGAGGCCAGTCAGCACATTGTGTCTGTACCAGCTCCCTAAATGAGCATCTAACTTAGTGCTATCCTCCTGCTTCTCTCCCAGTAGCGCTTACAAATTGCTTCTATTTAAACATGAGGGAGAAAATAAATGCTGGATTGCCTTTAAAGTAATTGTTTTTTCTGTTACGTAGAATCATCTTTGGCCCATTGTGTCCACATTGGACATCTGTCATTATACATCTATCTATACTAATCTCAGTTTCCAGCACTTAGCCTGCCACCTTGAATGCTCGTTTTTTACTCACTCCTGGGACATGGGAATCGCTGGCTGGGCCCAGTAATTATTACCCATCCCTAGTTGCCCTTGAGAAGGTGGTGATGAGCTGCCTTCTTGAAGCACTGCAGTCCTCCTGCTGTGGGTTGACTCACAATGCCATTAGAGAGGGAATTCCAGGATTTTGACCCAGGGACAGTGAAGGAACGGCGATATATTTCCAAGTCAGGATGGTGAGTGGCTTGGAGGGGAACTTGCAGGGGGATGGTGTTCCCATGTATCTGCTGCCCTTGTCCTTCCAGATGGAGGTGGTTCTTGGTTTGGAAGGTGCTGTCTGAGGAGCTTTGGTGAATCTCTGCAGTGCATCTTGTAGATAGTACAAACTGTTGCTATTGAGCATCAATGGTGGAGGGAGTGGATGCTTGAGGATGTAGTGCCAATCAAGCGGCTGCTTTGTCCTGGATGGTGTCAAGCTTCTTGACTGTTTTTGGACCTACACCCATCCAGGCAAGTGGGGAGTATTCCATCACACTCCAGACTTGTGCTTTGTAAATGGCTTTGGAGAGTCAGGAGGTGAGTTACTTCCTGCCGTATTCCTAGCCTCTGATCTGCTCCTGTAGCCACTGTGTTTATGTGGTGAGTCCAGTTGAGTTTCTGCTCAATGGTAACCCCCAGGATGTTGATAGTGGGGAAGTCAGTGATGGAAACACAATTAAATGTCAAGGGGCGGTAGTTAGATTGTCTCTTATTGGTGGTGGTCATAGCCTGGCATTTATGTGGCACGAATGTCACTTGCCACTTCTCAGCCCAAGCCTGGATATTGTCCAGATCTTGTTGCATGTGAACATGGACTGCTTCAGTATCTGAGGAGTCATGAATGGTGCTGAACATTGTGCAATCATCAGCAAACATCCCCAATTCTGACCTTATGATGGAAGGATGGTCATTGCTGAAAGCAGCTGAAGATGGTTGGACCTGGGACACTACCATGAGGAACTCCTGCAGAGATGTCCTGGAGCTGAGATAACTGACCTCCAACAGCCACGATCATCTTCCTATGTGTCAGGTATGACTCCAACCAGTGGAAAGTTTGCCCCCTAGTATCCATTGATTCCAGTTTTGCCAGGGCTCCTTGATATCACACCTGATCGATTGCAGCCTTGATATTAAGGGCTGTCACTCTTACCTCACCTCTGGAATTTAGCCCTTATGGTGTTTCAAGTGTTTGTATAAATATTTCTTAAATGTCTTGGGGACTCCTGCCTCTATCACCTCTATGGGCAGTGAGTTCCAGATTCCCTCTACCGTCTGGGTGAATTCTTTTCTTCAAAATCTCCTCTAAACCTCCTGCTCCTTACCTCAAACCTGTGCCCCTCGGTTATTGACCACTGTACTAAGGGGAAACTTTCCCCCTATCTACCCTGTCTATGCAGCTTCAAACTATGTACACCTCAATCAGATTCCCCTCAGCCTTCTCTGCTCCAAGATAAACAACTCCAGCCTGTCTTGTCTTCCCTCATCGCTAAATCGCTCCATCCCAGGCAACATCCTGGTGTATCCCATCTGCACTTTCTCCCAGCGCAATCATGTCCTTCCTATTGTGCAGTGACCACAGAGCTACCCACACTACTCCAGCTGTGACCTAACCAACGTTATATACAGCTCCATCGTAACTTCCTTGGTCTTGTATTCAATGCTTTGAGTAATGAAACCAGGTATCCCATATGTTCCCTTAACCACCTTATCTACCTGTCCTGCTTCTGTCAAGGATCTATGGACATGCAAATCCAGGTCCCTCTGATCCTCTGTACTTCCCAGGGTCCTACCATTTAATATGTATTCCCCTGTCTTGTTAGTCTTTCTAAATGACCTCATACTTTTCAGGATTAAATTCCATTTGCCATAGTTCTGCCCATTTGACCAGCCCATCTATGTTGTCCTGTAGTCTCCTGTACTCAGGCTTTCCTCCTTGCTATTTACTACAATACCTATTTCTGTGCCATCTACAAGCTTACCTCCCACATCCATGAGTAGACAACGAGCTTTGTTAACCTATCTGTGACCTTTGATGTCATTTTGCCACAACATCCTCCGCACCAGCTCCTCTCCTTTGTTGAGCTGGGTGGTTCAGTTCCTGCTTTCATCCCTTTCTCTAAAACATAGTGAGGCAATCACCATCACTGAATCTCCTCTCACTGTTGCACCGTTAGCTCCGGTGTCCCCCAGGAATTTATCCTTAGCTCCTGTTACTCCTTTTCTACAATGCTGTCCCTCCATAGCATCATCAGAAACCTAATGGGAGCCTTCAAGTGTTTGTTAACAATACCTTACTAGCACCTCTCTCTCTCGTCCTATTTGCTGATTATTTACAAGGCACAAGTTAGGCGTTTGATGGAATATTCCCCACTTGCCTGAATGGATGTAGGTCTAAAAACAGTCAAGAAGCTTGACACCATCCAAGACAAAGCAGCCCGCTTGATTGGCATTACATCCTCTGATTTGTCATGTTGCTTTTCTGACATCCAGTAGTGTTTGCCCAGAAATGTCCTCAAGCCAAACATTGGGGGAAGCTCTGAGTTTGTTGTGTTCCTTTGCTGTCAACCCTATTCCTGTTCCCGGCAATTTGTTTGAAGCTGAACCTGGCTGTTTGCAATCTCAGTGTCCCAGTTTATCTTGAGTTGAGCTTCCAACCACACTCCCCCTTCTTCCCTAAGATTGCCTTACTTCGAGCTGTGGGTTCATGCTTGCCTCTTCCCCTGGCTCAGCCCATTCGCTTTGGCCAGGCCTTTGTTACACTCAACCTTGACTATTCCATTGTCCTTGAAGCTTCTTTAAGGCTGAATGCATACAAAATTGGCATCACTCTTTGTAGAATCCCTACAGTGTGGAAACAGGCCCTTCGGCCCAACCAGTCCACACTGACCCTCAGAGCATCCCTCCCAGACCCATCCCCCTATAACCCACCTAATCTACACATCCATGAACACTATGGACAATTTCCCATGGCCAATCCACCCTAACCTGTACATCTTTGGACTATGGGAGGAAAACGGAGCAAACCCCCACAGACACAGGGACAATGTGCAAACTCCACACAAACAGGGAGGTATTGAACGCGGGTCCCTGGCGCTGCGAGGCAGCAGGGCTAATCACTGAGCCACCATGCCGCCCTCTCTTGATCTTTGAACGCAACCTTTGAAACTGGTCATCTGGTCACATGCCGAACAGATAGGGGTGCTAACTGGGGTGCTAACAGATGATTGCAGGTTCCAGTCCCACTGTGATCATTTCAGCGGCTCAGTAGTTAGCACTGCAGCCTCACAGCACCAGGGACCCAGGTTCAATCCGACCCTCGGGTGAGTGTCTGTGTGGAGTTTGCACATTCTCCCTGTGTCTGCGTGGGTTTCCTCTGGGTGCTCTGGTTTCCTCCCACAGTTCAAAGATGTGCAGGTTAGGTGGATTGGCCATGGGATATGCAGGGTTACAGGGATAGGGTAGGAGAGGTGAGTCTGGATTGGATGCTCTTTGGAGGGTCAGTATGGGCCAAATGGCCTGCTTTTAACAGTGTAGGGATTCTAAGAAGCACCCTGTTTAGGATTTAACTCCTGATTTTTAAATTCTCTTCTGCAATAGTGTCCGAACCTGGGAACAAAGTCTCTGTTTACCAAACATCTGAATTGTCATCATCCAGTTTAAGTTCAGGATTGGATCACTCTAATCTTTAAGGTTGTTTCCACGAGCTTAAACACCACTTCATTTACTGCAACCATTTCATTTCTGCGTTCAGTAATTTCATCTGTAACTGCTTCGAGAATCTTATTACAGTAATGTCAATAATCATCCTAAAAAAAATCTGCGTACCCCTTTCTAGTCAGTTCTCATATTCCTTCAAGGTCTTTCTGATTTTGGTCTTTAAGTTCAGAATGGGCTGTGTCGATGTATATTCTTCCAAGTGCAATAGCTCCATCATTTAGCTTACATTCAATAACTTACCATCCCTTTGTCCCATAATCAAAGTCTGAGATCATATTGTTCTTCCTGCATTGTTCTAGTTTCTCTTTCCACTTGCCTTCTTTGAATCTCAAGGTCTACCCTATCTTTTGCTATTTGGAAATCTAATTTAAGTTCTTTATTCCCCTTTTCTCTTTCTTCCTGGTTTTTGCCTCTGTCTCATTCCTGGCCTGAATCTTACTTTCCTTGGCTATGTCAGTCTCAGGGAGTTACACCGAATGTTTCTCACTGCAAGGCCCAGAGATCTCTCAGGTATCTCACCAAACTCATCTCATTAGCCACCCCATCCCTATGGTGCCACCTGATACTAGACCCACTCTACCACTCACGGTTCTCCGACTAAATCTAACTAAAATCTAAATCTAACTTGTGTGCATTTAGACTGAGACAGATAGACTCTTGATCACTCAGGGAACGAAGGGTTACGGGGAAAGGGCAGGAAAAGTGGATGTGAGGAATGTCAGAACAGCCATGATCCTATTGAATGGCAGAGTAGACCCGAGGGGCTGAATGGCCTTCCCCTGTTCCTACTGCAGCATGGTGGCTCAGTGGTTAGCACTGCTGCCCCACAAAGAGTCAGGGACCTGGGTTCGATTCCACCCTCAGGCAACTGTCTGTGTGGAGTTTGCATATTTTCCCCGTGTCTCCGTGGGTTTCCTTCGGGTACTCTGGTTTCCTCCTACAGTCCAAAGATGTGCAGGGTAGGTGGATTGGCCATGCTATAGTGTGCAGAGACATGCAGGTTAGTGGGTTTAGCCATGGGAAATGTAGGGTTGCAGGATGTGGGCTAAATGGCCTCTCTCCACGCTGTATGGATTCTATGATTTCATATGGTCTTAACTTCCCACCCATCAGATATCTACAAAGAGACCAACATCCTTGGCACCGATGCTATCTTGAAAAAGACCACTCTGCATCTGGATGGGCACTGGCATCCAGAGCTGCCCTCCTCATCCAAACTCAAACTTTCTGAAACAACAAGGTGCAGAGCTGGATGAACACAGCAGACCAAGCAGCATCATAGGAGCAGAAAGGCTGACGTTTCGGCCCTAGACCCTTCACCCGAAACGTCAGCCTTTCTGTTCCTATGATGCTGCTTGGCCTGCTGTGTTCATCCAGACCTGCACCTTGTTGCCTCGGATTCTCCAGCATCTGCAGTTCGTACTATCTCAAACTTTCTGAAGATGCCAGAGAAGGGGAAAATGGCACCAATAGGGACCTGGAGGTCTTAGTGTGGGCTCCCAGGGGAGTGCCAACCTCATGTTGGAGAGCTGGCAGAGGAGGCCCTGACATCAGACCCTGGCAGGTCAATCAGAGGTCACCGCCTGGGTCAGTGTCATTTTCATAGCCCAGAGGAACAGCTAGCAGTGCTGTAAGAAGGTCAGTTAGCTCCTTGGCTACATCACGGTAAGTACCACACTCTTCTCCCTGCTACCTCACACTCACTCTCTCTCTCTCTCTGCTACTGTGCCAACCTCCCACCAAAGCTCTCTCACTCTCACAATTGCCTACAGTATCTTCCATCACTCACTGGTGCCCACCTCATCACCCTTGCTGCCCAATGTGCTGCCTACTCGCAGGGTCATGAAACCTCCTTACTTTTTCCCTTGGCTTCACAAGCTGTGCCAGCTACAGCAAGGAAGGCTAACTTCCACAAAATGTATATGGGAGTGCCCACTTGTAGAGTCATAGAATCTCACAGCATGGAAACAGACCCTTCAGTCCAACCAGTCCATGCTGGCCATAATCCCGAACTGTACTAGTCCCATCTGCCTGCTCCTGGCCCATATCCCTCCTTTCTTATTCATGTATCTGTACAAATGTGTTTTAAACATTGTAACTGTACCTGCATCCACCACTTCCTGTTTGTGACAGGCAGCATGTCGGCGCAAGCTTAGAGGGCCGAAAGGCCTGTTCCTGTGCTGTAATTTTCTTTGTTCCCCTAGAAGTTCATTCCACACGTGAACTACAGTCTGTGTAAACAATTTGGCCTTCATGTCTTTTTTAAAATGTTTCTTCCTTCAACTTAAAAATATGCCAACAAGTCATGAAATCTTCCACCCTAGGGGGAAAAAACCCTACCATTAACCCTATCTGTACCCCTCATGATTTTATGAACTTTTATAAGGTCATCTCTCAACCTCCTATGCTCCAGTGAAAAAAGTCCCAACCTATCCAGCCTCTCCTCATAACTTAAACCCTCCATTCCTGGCAACATCCTGATAAATCTTTTCTGAACCCTCTCCAGCTTAATAATATCCTTCCTATAACAGGGTGACCAGAACTGGACACAGTACTCCAGAAGAGACCTCACCAATGTCATTACAACCTCAACATGACGTCCCAACTCCTACACCCAAAGGACTGAGCAATGAAGGCAAGCGTGCTAAATGCCTTTTTAACCACCCTGTCTACGTGTGATACAAACTTCAAAGAATTATGTACCTCTTTATTCATTAATGGGATGAGGGCATCACTGGCTAGGCAGCATTTATTGCCCATCTCTAATTGCCCAGAGGGCAGGTGAGAGTCAACCACATTGCTGTGGGCCTGGAACAGAGAGACCTAGGGCCCAAACTCCTAGGTCTCTCTGTTCTAGAAAAATCTCAAATCAATACAAATCAACATTAATGCAGAAATGTTTGACGGTCAGAAACAAGCCCTGTTTATTTCCTCAGCTCATTACCTGTCTGATCTTTATCATATTGTTTGAAGGCATCAATAACTTCGGATTTGTGTGCGTAAAACTTTTCACGCAAGGACTTCAGGGCTGATGCTTCAACTACGCTTACCCTTCACGTGCGAGAAAAGAGTGAACAGAATTAACATGCAAGATTTCTTAAAGTTAAACAGAATAAATATCAAGTTTATGCTGCAAATCAAAAGCCTTCCACAAGTAAATGCAAAATACTGCGAATGTTGGCACTGTGAAATAAAATGTAACAACAGATTATAATATCACAAGCATACACCTGAAAATGGTTAATAATGTGAATGAAACCAGAGCTGGGGGCCCTTCCCACTCTCCCTACCCCTATCTCACTTTAAATGGTTTGCTTTGTCTCTAATGAGCTTTGCATGTAAATATCCAATTGGCTGTACACATGATTTGCTGGTGGTGGTTAATTGATAGAAATTTTTTAAAAAGTCATGGTGATTTGGTGATGGGTAAAAACTATTCAGAGCATGAGCACTTCTGGATATATTAAAAGAACAGAGCTGGGAACAACCTGCTCCTTATGAGGTCTTTTGGAAAGAATGCTTAAGGCAATGTCACAAAACACAGGAAATAGTAAAAGAGGGGCCTAGGGTTTTATACGCTGTCTAAGGAACTGAATTGCAGGAGCTTGTGGACAAATCCAAGACCATGTTCCATACCTGTCTCTTGTGTTGAAGTCATCATGGAATGTGGGTGTTAGAGAGTCATACAGCACAGAACCAGACCCTTCAGTCCAACTTGTCCATGCTGACCAAGTCTCCCAAACTAAACTAAACTATTTGCCTGCTTTTGGCCCATATCTCTCTAAACCTTTCCTATCCGTTTACCTGTCCAAAGGTCTTTTGAATGTTGCAATTGTACCCATCTCTACCACTTCCTTTGGCCGCTCATTGACAGATGCATGTCTGCCCACTTCATTAATCAGTCCGTATCTCCCTGATGTGATGTAGAACTTTCCTTACGATTCAGAATCCTGCCAAGTTTTGTGCCATCCACAAATGTTGAAATTGCACCCTGTAAACCGGAGTCTAAATCTTTAATTGTGTACGTATTAATAAAATCACCGAAACCGAAACCAATCTCTTGGGAATTCCATGGTGAACCTCCAGTTGACAAACAACCATTCATCATGACTTCTTGCTTTCTATCAGTCAACCTAATTATTATCCCTGTTGCTATTGCCCCTTTTACTCTGTGGACCTCAACGTTGCTGACAAGCCTGTTATACCTGACACAAAAATGTTGTAAAACTTGAAGGGGTTCAGAAAAGACTTACAAGGATGTTGCCGGGGTTGGAGGGTTTGAACAATAGGGACAGGCTGAATAGGCTAGGGCTATTTTCCCTGGAATGTCAGAAGCTGAGGGGTGACCTTCTATAGGTTTATAAAATCATGAGGGACATGGATGGGGTGAATAGTCAAGGTCTTTTTCCCCAGGGTGGGGGAGTCCAAAACTAGAGAGGCATAGGTTTAAGGTGAGAGGGGAAAGATTTAAAAGGGACCTGAGGGGGAGCTTTTTCACACAGAGGGTGGTGTGTGTATGGAATGAGCTGCCAGAGGGAGTGGTGGAGGCTGGTACAATTACAACATTTAAAAGGCATCTGGATGGGTATATGAATAGGGAGGGTTTAGAGAGATAAAGGCAAAATGCTGGCAAATGGGACTAGATCGATTTGGGATATCTGGTTGGCATGGATGAACCGAAGGGTCTGTTTCCGTGCTGTACGTCTCGATGACTCTGCGACTAAGTCTACATACACTACATCCGCTACATTAACCTCTTCCACCATCTCTGTTACTTCATGAGAAAAAGCTGACCGACTGGACACAGGCTGTGCAGGTGAATGAGTTTGAAATTGGGGTCTCTCCTATCACCGCTTGCCTCAATGCACTGGTCATCCCGATTTAAACCCCTCGCATGTCGGATGAAAGGGGAAATGTTCCCTCTCTGCACAGACGTTTGCCTGCCGCACTGAGGAAATGACACGAGTCTATCTCTGTGCTGTACTCACCTCTCCCGAAGAGTCAGTTTCCTTGTACTTTTACTAACTCGGTACTGGACAAAGCGAGGTACCCGATTGGGACCAAGTTTGATGTAAGCCCCTCGATTGCTGCCTTCTTCGTAGTAATTTGAGGCGGAGAAAATAGTGACGACCTGTGTGAGAAACGGATGATTCAGCTCCCTGTGACTGACCATAAATCAGTATGCTTGCACCGACATGAGCCACAATTCCTTCACAGCTGACACGCAAGTCATGCAATTGGGGTTCAACTCAATGTTTTACCTTTCCGTTGTGGCAGAGTTCATAGCCTTCCTGTTTGCACTCATGCGACCGTATCAGCAGCTCTAAGTTGTATCTTTTCAGCAGGCTTTCTGTCACATTGTGACCAAAATAACAGCCCCCGCCTCGGAAGCTGTTTGGGATGCAGCCAGTGAAGTTCCGTGGATCACTCCAAAGTATGTCTACCATCTACAGAAAGATAACTTACAGAATAAACATTCACCTCAACAATCCTGCGATCTCAAAGGTTGACAGATCTACAAATACCTCATTCAATTAGCCATCAAGTCTACAACGAGGAGAGCTGAAGTTATTTCACACGTTTGTATCTGGTACATTATTTTCTAACTGAGCCTGGGTACTTATGAAAGCAAGCAGCAGAGCTTCATTCACAAGGTAACTGCGTTGCAACTCGATTACAGAAAGCAATATGATGTGGGCTCAAGCTTAATAAGCTCACTGACTCACCAAATTCTCCTTGGGGAGAGGTGTAGGATAATGGGTTAGTGCTAGGGAACAATATCAGACATCCGTAATGTTGGGTCACACTTGGAACTGGGACTGAGCTGCTTATATCATAGCGCAAATCATTCATGAACACCCCCGGTCACAAACACGAGGATCACTCGAAACAAAAGAGAAATTAAAGAACTGAGAATGCTGGAAATCAGAAACAAAAACAGAACTCGTTGAAGAAACTCAGCAGGTCTGGATGCATCCGTGGAGAAAAAACAGGGTTAGCGTTTCATGTCCAGTGAACCTTCTTCAGAACAGGGTTCTGTTGAAGAGTCACCAGACCCGAAATGTTAACTCTGCTTTCTCTCCACGGATGCAGCCAGACCTGCTGAGTTTCTCCAGCAATTTCTGATGTTGCTACTGACGAGGAAAGACTCACTTCTCTCTCCAGTCTCAGTATGATCTCACAACAAGAGCTGGGGAAAAAAATACTTTTTTTTAGTGAATGCAACTCCACAGAGCCAAGCAGGATACTTTGCAAGGCAAACCAGGGCAGGACTTATACACTTAATGGTAAGATCCTGGGGAGTGTTGCCAAACAAAGAGACCTTGGGGTACAAGTTCATAGATCATTCAAAGTGGAGTCACAGATAGACAGGGTGATGAAGAAGGTGTTTGGTACGCTTGCCTTTATTGGTCAGTGCATTGAGTATAGGAGTTGGGAGGTCATGTTGTGGCTGTACTAGACATTGGTGAGACCATGTTTGGAATATTGGTATAGTTCTGGTCTCCCACTATAGGAAAGATGTTGTTAACTTGAAAGGGTTCAGAAAAGATTTACGAGGATGTTGCCAGTGTTGGACGGTTTGAGCTACAGGGAGAGACTGAATAGGTTGGGGCTATTTTGCCTGGAGCGTCAGAGGCTGAGGGGTGACCTTATAGAGGTTTATAAAATCATGAGGGGCATGGATAGGGTGAATAGACAAGGCCTTTTCCCCACAGTAGGGGAGTCCAAAACTAGAGGGACATAGGTTTAAGGTGAGAGGGGAAAGATTTAAAACGGACCTAAGGGGCAACTTTTCAGACAGAGGGTGGTGTGTGTATGGAATAAGCTGCCAGAGGAAATGGTGGAGGCTGGTACAATTACAACATTTAAAAGACATCTGGATGGGTATATGAATGGGAAGGGTTTAGAGGGAAATGGGCCAAATGCTGGCAAATGGGACTAGATTAATTCAGGATATCTGGTCGGCATGGACGAGTTAGACCCAAGGGTCTGTTTCCGAACTGTACAGCTGTATGACTCTGGGTGGGAGGAGCTGACCATTCGACCTCTCAGGTCCAGCCTGTTCTCCCCACTATCCAGATCTTGGCTGATCTTGTACCTCCACACCATTTTCCCATGCTAGCTCCAAATCCCACAATCTCTTTACAAATCTGGAATTGCATGCAGTATACCTGCTTCCATTCCATCTCCTCTCTCAATAAGTCATTAGGAAATGCCACTTCGCAGTCCAAGCAGGACACTTCGAGGATAGGAGTGAAGTGGTGCCCCCTATCTGGCAGTCGCTCCTGGTTGGAATCATGTTGGAGTACACCTTCCTCCCTCCCTCCATCTTGCTCACCATCAGACCTACTCAGGCTGGACCCAGAGGAATGCGATGAGGTCACAAGCCTCTGCTTTCGAAAGGAGGAACGATCAGTCGCGGAAATGCTGGAAGTTTCTGGCAGCTTCTGTCGGACATTCCCATTCTTGTCCAGCCTGCTCGAAGCTTGTGCCTTGAGGCAGAGATTCCCTGAGCTTTTCTCATTCGGGTTTTCCAAGGCTCTGGCCTGTGACCTGAGTGCAGATTTAAACTGTGAGGGAATGAGAAATTCTTAATTCAAGATACAGGCAAAGTCCTGCAGATGCTGGCAACCCGAAATAAATGCAAAGAACCTTGGGGAAATTCAGTAGGGTCTGGCAGCATCTGCCGAGAGAGAAAAACAGAGTTAACATTTCGAGTTTGGTATGAGTCTTCTTCAGAGATTCAAAGGATGATTGCACCAAGTTATTGGAGATGATGTGGGCCAAATGGATGATTTGTCAGGGGGGAAGCATTTGGAAGACAGGAAAAGGCAGGAAATTGGCATGGGGTAATGATGCTCGTTTGAAGAGCCGGTGCAGGCACGACGGGCCGAGTGGCTTCGTTCTGCACTGTTTCTGTGATTTGGTGATATTCGTAATACTGTGGCAATCCATCAATAAGTAATGTACTGATCATCACAGAAAATGCAACCGGTTAAAAGTGGATTACAATCATTTTATCAGTCCTTTTGCTTGTTGTTTGATACTATCAGATAGTTGTAATATGAAGCGTTAGGTCGGACTGTGTGATAAGACAACAGATATCAGCATCAGCATCTGTCAGGGCAGCACAGCGGTTAGCACTGCTGCCTCACAGGGCTAGAGACCTGGGCTCAATCCCACCCTCGGGCAACTGTCTGTGTACAGTTTGCACATTCTCCCTGTGTCTGTGTGGGCTTTGATTGGAGGGTTTTGTAGATGAGGGCAATGCTTTTGACGTAGTCTATTTGGATTTCAGCAAGACTTTTGATAAGGTCATGCACGGGAGACTAATACCAAAAGTAAGAGACCCTGGGATCCAGGGAAACTTGGAAGAGAAGCAGGTTAAATTGCTCATAACGTCACTGATAGGCAGAGGGATCTGGGTGTACAATTCTTTGAAGAGGTGACCAAACACGTGGATGAAGGTAGAGCAGTGGATGTGGTATACATGGATTTAAGTAAGGCATTTGATAAGGTTCCCCATGGTAGGCTCCTGCAGAAGGTAAGGAGGCATGGGATAGGGGGAAATGTGGCAGATTGGATTCAGAATTGGCTGACCCTTAGAAGACAAAGGGTGGTAGTGGATGCAAAATATTCAACATGGTGCTCAGTTATGAGTGGTGTACCACAAGGATCTGTTCTGGGTCCTCTTCCATTTGTGATTTTTGTAAATGATTTGGATGTAGATGTGGAAGGGTGGATTAGCAAGTTTGCGGACAATACGAAGGTGGGTTGTGTTGTGGACAGTGCGGAGGGCTGTTCTAGGTTACAAAGGGACATTGATTGGATGCAGAGCCGGGCTGAGAAGTGGCAGATGGAGTTTAACCCTGAAAAGTGTGAGGTGATTCATTTTGGAAGGGCAAACTTGAAAGCAGAATACAGGGTTAATGGAAAGATTCTTGGCAGTGTGGAGGAGCAGAGGGATCTTGGGGTTCATGTCCACAGTTCCCTGAAAGCTGCCACCCATGTAGATAGAGTTGTTAAGAAGACGTATGGCGTGTTAGCTTTCATTAAGAGAGGGATTGACTTCAAGAGCCGTGAAGTTATGCTCCAGCTATACAAAATCCTGGTTCGGCCACATCTGAAGTATTGTGTCCAGTTCTGGTTGCCTCACTACAAAAAAGATGTGGAAGCGTTGGAAAAGGTGCAGAGGAGATTTACCAGGATGTTGCCTGGAATGGAGGGAAGGTCTTACGAGGAAAGGTTGAGAGAGCTAGGGGTTTTCTCTTTAGAACGACAAAGGATGAGAGGTGACTTGATAGAGGTGTACAAAATGATCAGACGTATAGATAGAATGGACAGCCAGAGATTTTTTCCTAGGGTGGAGGTAGCTATTACGAGGGGGCATAGTTTTAAAGTGAGTGGAGGTAGATACAGGGGAGACGTTAGAGGTAGGTTCTTTACTCAGAGAGTGGTAGGGGCGTGGAAAGCATTGCCGGAGAGGGTAGTGGAGTCGGCCTCATTAGGGGCATTTAAGCGGCTATTAAATAGGCGTATGGATGATAGTATAAGGTAGGGGTGGAGGTTAGATAGACCTTAGGTTTAGGGTAAATGTTTGGCACAACATCGTGGGCCAAAGGGCCTGTACTGTGCTATACTGTTCTATGTTCTATGTTCTATGTACACAGGTCACTGAAAGTGGCAACGCAGGTGGAGAAGGTCATCAACAAGGCATAGGCATGCTTGCCTTCATCGGCCGGGGCACTGAGTTTAAAAATTGGCAGGTAAAGTTGCTTTATAGAACCTTAGTTAGGCTGCATTTGGAATATTGGCTTCAATTCTGGATGTGGTGGCTTTGGAGAGGGTACAGAAAAGATTTACCAGGATGTTACCTGGTATCGAGGGCATTAGCTATGAGGAGAGGTTGGAGAAACTTGGGTTGTTCTCACTGGAATGATGGAGGTTGAGGGGTGACCTGATAGAGATCTACAAGATTATGAAGGGCATGGACAGAGTGGACAGTCAGAAGCTTGTTCCCCAGGGTGGAAGAGTCAGTTACCAGGGGACATAGGTTTATGGTGTGAGGGGCAAGGTTTAAAGGCAATGTACGAGGCAAGTTTTTTTTACACAGAGGGTGGTGAGTGCCTGGAACTTGCTGCCGAGGGAGATAGTGGAAGCAAATGCGATAGTGACTTCTAAAGGGCGTCTTGATAAATATATGAATAGGATTGGAATAGAGGGATACAGTCCCCGGAAGGGTTAGGGGGGTTTTAGTTGTGATAGTTGCATGTCAGTGCAGGTTTGGAGGGCCGAAGGGCCTGTTCCTGTGCTGTAATTTTCATTGTTCTTTGTTGTGGCAAAATATAACCATAGTAAGATGTTTCTTCAAGTTAATTTTCTCCTTTCCTCACCAGACTCTGTAAATATTCTTCAGCAGTACAATAAGATCAAGTGTATTATAAAATAATTGCTTGCAATTCAGATTGTCGAACAATGCACCTGCTCAGCAAGACCATCAATTCAGAAAAGACCGGTTTGACATCAATGAAGCCCAGTATCAGAGTAGGAAGGGAAATAAGGGCAGTGTCGGTTACTGCTGTGTCCACAGACCTTCAAAAGGTGGTTGATCAAGTATCACACTGTGGGCATGTTTGTAAAATTAAAGATCATGGGATTAAAGGAGGCTGTGAGCATGTAGATGCAAAATTAACAAAAAGAGAGAAAGTAGGAAGCTGTCGTGTTTCACCCTGAAATCTATGTTTCTCTGTGTCAGTGTTAAGAAGAAGTGTTGACAATACACATGGCCAAACAGCACGTGACAGGCAGGACATCACTTCAAACCCTTGCAGCTGATTCGATTACGTATCAATATGGACAAGCAATGAGAACCTGAGTACCAGAGTTCAAGAGAATGGAAACAGCCTGTGAAAACAGCAGGTACATTTCACATAGAAATGTGATTTGGTTGTTTGAAGCATGATGGAGGTGGGTGTAGGGTGAGGAGACATGGGTAAATATACTGGATAACGAAATCTGGATAGAGCATAGACTATTGTAGTGCATTAGTAGTACCCCTACCTTTGAGACAGGAGGCCCAGATTCAAGTTACACTCATCCCAGAGATATATGCTAATATCTGAACAGGTTGATTTGAAAATAGGTTAATAAAAAAAACTATTACAGTGTAGGAAGCCTGTGTCCAGTGGAGTTCCACAGGGATCAATGTTGGGGCCCTTGCTGTTTGTGGTTAATTTAAATGACTTGAATGTAGGAGTGTTCGTCAGTGAATTCGCACATTATACAAAAATTGTTGGGTGGTACACACTGAGGTAGATAGCTTTAGATTAGAAGAGGATATAAACAGCCTGGTCAGATGGGCTGAGTGGCAAATGGAATTCAATCTGGAAAAATGTGAGTGGATGTACTTGGACAGGACAAGGTAGGGGAATACATGATGAACTGTAGGACCCATGAAGCACTGAGGATCAGAGGGACCTCAGTATGCAAGTATTCCGGTCCTATAAGGTAGCAAGAGATTTGGATAAAATGGTTGAGAAAGTATGTGGCATACTTGCCTTTATTATCTGAGGCAAAGGGTTTAACAGCAGGGAGGTTATGCTGGAACTGTATTAAACACTGGTTAGGCCACAGCAAGAGTATTGTGTGCAGTTCTGGAATCCCCATTATACAAAGGGATGTGATAGCACTGGAGAGGGTGCAGAGGGGGATTTATCAGGGTGTTGCCTGGGCTGGAGAGTTTCAGTTATGAAGAGGGATTGGACAGATTGGGGTTGTTTTCCTCAGAACAGAGGAGATTGAGAAAGGACATGATTGAAATGTATGAAATCATGAGGAGCATAGATAAGGCAGCCAGGAAGAAACATTAGCTCTTGATGCAAGGATCAATGACCAGTGGAGACATAGATTTAAGGTAAGGGCAGAAGGTGTAGAGGAGATGTGAGAAAAATCTTTTTCACCCAGAGGATCATGGCAATCTGGAGTTCACAGCCTGTAAGGGTGGTAGAGACTGAAACTGTTATAACACCTTAGAAGTATTTAGATGTCTACCACAAGTCTACAGATAACCTCACGAAGCTGCACTTCTCTACCTTCCACCCAAAACATATTAAAACAGCCATCCCCTGTGGACGAGCCCTACGCATACACAAAATCTGTTTGGATGAGGAGAAATAACTCAGACACCTGAAGATGTTGAAAGACGCCCTCACAGAAACAGGATACAATGCTCAACTCATTGATGGCCAGTTCCAACGTGCCACAGTGAAAAACCATAATGGCCTCCTCAGAAGACAGACATGGAATACATCCGATAGGGTGCCCTTCACTGTCCAGTACTTCCTGGGAGCGGAGAAACTACACCATGTTCTTCTCTGCCTTCAACACATTATTGATAACGATGAGCAGCTCGCCAAGATATTCCCCACGTCTCCACTTCTCGCCCTCAAACAAACACCAAACCTTAAACAGACCATTGTTCGCAGCAAACTACCCAGCCTTCAGGACAACATCAACCACAATACTATACAACCCTGTTAAGCTAAACTCTGCAAGACATGTCAGATCTTTCACATGAACACTACTATCATACGTGGGAACACCACGCACCAAGTACACGGCAGAGACTGATGTGACTTGGCCAACGTAGTCTATCTCATACACTGCAGGCAAGGTTGCCCCGAGGCATGGTATATTGGTGAGATCATGCAGACGCTACGACAACAGATGAATGGACTCTGCGCAACAAACACCTCCCAGTGGGGGAACACTTCAGTGGTCAAGGACATTCAGCCTCAGATTTTCTGGTAAATATCCTCCAGGCGGACTTCAGGATACACAACAACTTAGAGTCGCCGAGCAGAGGCTGACAGCCAAGTTCCGTACCAATGAGGACAGCACACAGTAATAGACAGTCAGTCAATATGGCGTTTTATAAATTCCTACATTAGAAATAAAACCAGTCTGACTCCAAACTAAAACATAAACCGATTCTAAGCAAGGTCTCACCCCTAACATGCACTGTCTGACTTAAAATGTCACCTCTTCTTTACACTGATAAAATCTTCAGTTCTCTCAGGACCGTGACTTGAAAGGAATTCAGGGATTTACATATCAATTAAAATCTTCTAACTGATTAAAGATTTAACAGCATCTTATGTTTGTTTAGTACTTCCTCATCAATGGTGTGAACCTTTGATCTTTTACTGATAAATTCTGTATTTGACACTATCCTCTCTCACTAACACCTGAAGGAGGACTGAGGCTCCGAAAGCTTGTGTTTTCAAACAAACCTGTTGGATTATAACCTGGTGTCGTGTGATTTCTGACTATATGGCACACAAGGCTATGGGCCAAGTGCTGGAAAATGGGATTAGAATAGTTTGGTTGTTTCTGAATGTCATGGAGATGTTGGGTTGAAGGGCCTTTCTCTGTGCTGTAGATTTATGTGACTCTATGACTCCACGAACAGGGAGTCCAGAAACAAGAACCACAGTCTAAGGATACAGGGTCAGCCATTGAGGACTGAGGTGGGGAGAAATGTCTTCAACCAGAGAGCAGTGAGCCTGAGGAATTATCTGCCACAAAAAGCAGTTGCGGTTGAAACATTGAATGTTTTTAAGAAGGAGTTTGATATAGTTGGTGAAGATTCAGAAGCAAGCCGCGCACTCATTACTACATTGTACAGCCTGGGACACGCAACCTCATGGGGACATGGCCTTACCCTGTGTCTGTCTATCGAGGCCAGGAAGTCTAGGTCAGTTGTGTCTGAGATTCCTCCATGGACGACCAGCACCTTCGAGTCAATTACTGTTGCCAACGGCAGCCAACTGAACACATCTTGCACCAGGTGGAGAATTTTTTTCCCACAGAGCTGCACAAAAAAACATGAGCTTTGATCGACATGCGGAAAGATGTTTGATTTTATTCTTGCTAAAACAGCAATCGCCCCACGACCTGAAGCTGGGATCTCTCTCAGACATTGGGAAGCTGTGGCTTTGTGGTACTATCACTGGACTGTTAATCCAGACACCCAGGCAATGTTCTGAGGGCCAGAGTTCAAATCCACATTCCAAATCCATATTCAATAAAAATTTGGAATTAAAAGTCTAATGATGACTGTGAATCCATACAGTGGAATCAGGCCATTTGGTACAGCAAGTCCACACTGACTCACCCCTGCTACCCTAGCCCTGCATTTCCCGTGTCTAACCCACCTAAGCCTGCACATCCCTGGACACTATGGGTAATTTAGCATCGCCAATCCACTTAACCTGCACATCTTTGGACTGTGGGAAGAAACCAGAGTACCCGGAAGAAACCCACACAGACGCAGGAGAACATGCAAACTCCACACAGAGAGTCACCTGAGGGTGGAACCAAAGCCAGGTCTCTGGCGGTATGAGACAGCAGTGCTAACCACTGAACCACTGTGTCACCCCAAATCCATTGTTGATTGTTGGGGAAAGATCAATCTGGCTCTCTAATGCCCTTTAGGGAAGGAAACTGCTGTTATTACCTGGTCTGGACTACACGTGACTCCAGACCCATAGAAATGTTTGTTGACTCTTAATCACAGCACAGGCAATGGTCTTGTGATAGTATCACTGGACTGTTAATCCAGAGACCCATCCTTACCTGGTCTGGCCTACATGTGACTCCAGACCCACAGCAATGTGGTTGACTCTGAACTGCCCTCTGGGCATTTAGGGATAGACAGTGAATGCTGGCCTAGCCAGTGACACCCTCATCTTATGAATGAATTAAAACAAAACAACACAACCACAGGTGAAGAGTGCGCAGGGAGGAACGAGGGTATCAGCAATGAACAGAGCATGGCCAGTTACAGCAGGATGCCATTTGGCCCATCACACTGTACCAATTGCTGGTGCAAATCTCCTACCTTTAGCCCCATAGCCCTACCCACCATTTCAATCCAAATAACCATCCAATGCCGCTCTTGATTGCCTCAATAGAACCTGCCTCCACTACATTCCTCGGCAGTGCATTGCATTCCATGGTCTAAACCTCTTTTCAGTTCTGATCTCTGAAACATTAGATGTTTCGCAGGCTTAGATCACTTCTGCTAGAATGATTAATTCTCCTGAACTGGAACCTTGAATCTTCTGAGCTGAGATCAAAACTAAAATAGTGCCTCTCTCCTTTTATCTCCCCTCAGTCTATGGTAAACACAGCAGTTTAAAAAAACATTTTATCAACTAACACCACAAGCATGCAATCAGGCACTTCACTGAAGTTCCACGCCTGCTTAAAATCTATGTCTTCAGTCACTGTTCCAAATAATTTTCTCACTTCGAAAATGAAAGCATCTCCACAGAACTGAAAAATATCCAGATCCTGACAAGGACAGAGCTGCAGCACAAATGCACTGACTAACGGATGTGACAGTGTCACAACTATTTGCTAGATTCATGAACTATTTAGCAAGGTTCTAGCTTAACTTTCAGAGCGTGAAACTCTGTGCGAACTCACGGCTAAGGACATGCAAGTAGTATAGGGCACATAACAAGAAGCAGCTTTCACCTGAATCAAGTAACTGAGTTAGCTCAGTTGGCTGGATGGCTGGATTGCAATACAGGGCATTACCAACAGAGCGAGTTCAATTTGCGGTTGCCTTCATTGGTCAGAGCACAGGAGTTGGGAGGTCATGTTGCGGCTGTAAAGGATACTAGTGAGGCCACTTTTAGAATACCGTGTACAATTCTGGTCTCCCTGCTGTAGGAAGGATGTTATTAAACTTCAGAGGGTGCAGAAAAGATTTTCAGGGATGTTACCAGGATGGGGGCGACCTTACACAAGTTTATAAAATCATGAGGGGCATAGATAGGATGAATAGCCAATGTCTTTTTCCCAGGGTAGTTGAGTTCAAACCTAAAGAGCATAGGTTTAAGGTGAGAGGATAAAGATTTAAAAAGGACCTGAGGGGTAACTTTTTCACACAGAGGGTGGTGTGTGTATGGAATGAGCTGTCATGAGGAAGTGGTGGAGGCTGCTACAATTATAACATTTAAAAGGCATCTGGATGGGTATATGAATAGGAAGGGTTTAGAGGGATATGGGCCAAATGCTGGCAAATGGGACTTGATTAATTTAGGATATTTGGTCAGCATAGACAAGCTGGACCGAAGGGTCTGTCTCCATGCTCTATGACTCTCCTTCTCAACCTCCTTTTGCCTAAGGCATGGTGACCATTAGGTTAAACAACCATCAGTCTTCTCTCTCTCTCTCTCTCCCGAATGAGAGAGCAGGACTATGGTGAGTTTACTTCTAGAGGCTGAGTGTGCCTTGTTTTAATGTCTTGTTTAAAAGGCAGTACCAGTGAGAGTGCTGCACTGCAAAGCAGTATTGCTCAGGTATGCGAGGTAGGGAGAAACTGGTCCCAGTTGAATGAAAAGGCACAGATTTAAGGATGTGGACATCATCTAAGCCACCATCTACTACCCATTCTGAATTGCCCTTGAGAAGGTGGTGGTGAGCTGCCTTCTTGAACCGCTGCAGTCCTTGTGGTGAAGGGACACTCCACAATTCTGTTAGGTAGGGAGTTCCAGGATTTTGACCCAGTGACAGTGAAGGAACGGCGATATATTTCCAAGTCAGGATGGTGAGTGGCTTCGAGGGGAACCTGCAGGGGGGTGGTGTTCCCATCTTTTTGCTGCTTTTGTCCTTCTAGATGGAAAAGGTTGTGGATTTGGAAAGAGCTGTCTAAGGAGCCTTGGTGAATTTCTGTAGTGCATCATGTAGGCGGTACTGAGCATCAGCAGTGGAGGGAGCAGGTGTTTTTTTTAACACGGATAAAGATGAAAACTCCTTACCTTGTACTTTTGCATAACTTCTTTTGTAAAACCATATCTGAAATGATTTAAAGTAAACAGGTAATTTGTACCAGGTAGTCAGGAAGACAATAATGTCTGTGTGTGAGACAGCGGAAGTTGACACTAACATGGACGATCTGTTCTCACTCAAACACATTAAATGCCGAGTCGCTTCACTGTATAAATGGACATAAATTAAGAAGCTCACTTCTACAAAAATGTTGCAACGCACCTCACCAACAAATGTATCATGCTTCACCTTCACATCTTTTTATCAAACTTGTAGTTAATTTTATAACATCTGAATGTGTCAATGAGTAAATATAAGTAGCCTGCTTTGAATAGTGGGTGAAAAGAGACCATTTTCAGTTTTGTTTCAGTGCAGAGCTGCTATGTGAGTTGACTTTGAGCGCTGTAAGCATTTTCAGCACATAAGGAGGCCATTTGGCCCATTTCAACTGTACTGGCCCTCTCTAGAGGGTGCCTGTCATTGCCCTGCACTTTCCACATTGCCTATTAAATATTCCCATTCTCGAATTTATCTAATTGCCTTCGTAAAGTTGCTACTGGGTGCTACTTCCACTGTCCCTTCAGGCAGTGCAGTCCAGATCGCAACAGCTTCCTCAGTGTCACAAACTCCCATCTCTCACTTCTTCTTTTGTCAAGTATTCGTGAGCCCTGATCACTCCTGATAGGTCACAAGAAGCAGATCTTCCTTGTTTACCAGTTGAACTCCAATGTTAGATCACACCTTCAATTTCTCCGCACTGAGGTTCATAACATGGAAAAATTCAGTAGCAGCCTTGAAAGGGAAATATTTTCAGGGGTGTCTGGGTAAGAGTAGGGTTGTGAGAATAATTGGATAGCCCTCATACAGAGCTGGCATGGATACGATGGAATGAATGGCCTCCTTCTGTTTGTCTCAATGATTTTGAATCACTGACAGGCATCCAGCTTCTTGAACACCCTCCTCCCCCGTGCCCCATCCAGGAATGTGCAGGTTATGTGGATTAACCATGGGAAATGCAGGGTTACAGGGATAGGACAGGGGGATAGGTCAGGGTGGAATGATCTTCGAAGGATTCAATGGGCTAAGTGGTCTGCTCCCACACTGTAGGGATTCTATGATTCTATGTGTGTCCAAATCCTGAGCTCCCTGTGAGAAGTAGAGAAGGAGACAGTGTGCAGAGAGTGAGGAGGGGATGTGAGGCGATGGAGGGAGGCAACTGGGGTGATGGGGGCACCGGAGGTAAGGGGAGGTGTTGTAGGGGGAGCACATCAGGGGGACGTTGCGTTGTAATGGTGGGGGGCGGGGAACAAGGGGGCAGGAGTGGCAGAGAGAATTGGGGAGTGAGTAGCGAAGCAGGGGAGAAGCCAGAGAGGGATGGGAGACTGGGGGGCAAGTGGGGCAGAGGGATGGGGGAGAGAATGGGGCAAAAGGTAAGGTGGGAATCTGAGGGAAGGGGAGGGGAGAGAAGTGTGTGAGAGGTAGGGGAGGGTTGGAAATTGGGGCAAATAGGTACCGGAGGGGAGCAGGGAGAAGTGGGGGGTGGGTGAATCAGGACAGAATTGGTTTCTTTAATTACAAAGTCAGTCAGTCAGGAGCTGCCTATTTCTGATTCCCATCAAGGTTGGGCCTCATTAAAAATCAGCCCAGAGTGTGGTTCTGCTTCTTATTAGTTCAATCAGAATGAAACAGGGTCATCTAATGAAAATGATTTACCCAAAATGATGCTCATCAATAGGCTGTTAAATTCTAAGCATAGGCCACTTCCATTATGGACAAAGTCTCAAAGACAGACAGATTCACCTCAGGTTCACAATGTGGTCCTCATGATTTCCTCGGTTTAAGTGCACGTCGTTTGGGTAGATCAAGAGGAATGCAAACAGGATTATGATCACCTCCAGGGAATTCTTCCCCCTGTCGACAAAGTCCCCATTAAACACGTATGGTTTCTCCGGGGAGGGGAGACCATTCTGTGGGACAAAGAGAGAGATGGATGAAACGGGTCAGGCCCGCCCATATGGAATGCTGGAGCAGGCTCACGGGCCCGAGTGACATCATTTGCACATGCCTCCCAACAAGGGTCATAATTGATTCATTGCTGCTTCAGTGTAGACCAAAGGAAGTAGCCACATTGTGCACAGCAAGATCCCACAATGGGACAAATGACCAGCCTGATCAATTCCTGCTAGACAGGTGGAGGGATACACCTCAGTCAGAGCACAGGCTGGTCCTCCGATCTTCTTCAGATGGTGCTGTGGGCTTTGCTACGTCTACCTGAGGAAGCGGTGACCTTAGTTCATTGCCTCCTCTGAACAGAGTACCCCTGACCTAGCCCCCTGCTCTAAACATCTGAGGAGAGGTGCAGGCTCCAATCCTTAGAGAGTGCTGAATAGGCCAGCCCTTGCCTCAGCTAATTTTTACATTCACGGGTGACAAGATGCACACACTCAATTACTGCAGTGGGTTAGATGATTGTTCTATCACCTCCAGCTATGACTCTACCTTGGTTAGGAAGTGATTGTGTCCCCAACCCAAACATCAAGGCCATTGGCCAATGATGTCATTCACCAGGGCATGGTGAGAGACTTGCAGAGATCTGCAACAAGGCCCAGGGAGGAACTGGTTGCCATTATAGTCAAGTCCCCGTGGTAACTTTTGACAGAAACTGGCAGGACGTGGACACTACATAGAATCATACAGCACAGAAACAGACCCTTCGGTCCAACTCATCCATGCCGACTAGACATCCCAATCTGACCTAGTCCCATTTGCCAGCATTAGGTCCATATCCCTCTAAACTCTTCCTATTCATGTACCTATCCAGAAGCTTTTTAAATGTAATTCGACACACCTCCAAAACTTGGCTGCATGAAAAAGTTACCCCTCAGGTCACTTTTAAATCTTTCCCCCCCTCACCTTAAACCTATGCTGTCTAGTTTTGGACTCTCCAACCCTGGGCAAAAGACTTTGGCTATTCACCCTATCCATGCCCCTCATTAATTTTATAAATCTCTGTAAGGTCACCCCTCAGCCTCCGACATTCCAGGGAAAATAGCCCCAGCCTAATCAGCCTCTCCCTATAGCTCAAACCCTCCAGTCCCAGCAACATCCTTGTAAATCTTCTCTGCATTCTCTCAAGTTTAACAACATCCTTCCTATAGCAGGGAGACCAGAACTGAATGCAGTATTCCAAAGTGGTGTAACCAATACCCTGTACAGCCACAACATGACGTCTCAACTCCTATACCCAATGCACTGACCAAAAAAGACAGGCATACCAAATGCCTTCTCCACCGTCCTGTCTACCTGTGACTCCTCTTCCAATGAACTGTGCACCTGCATCCCAAGGTCTCTTTGTTCGGCAGCACTCCTTAGGGTCCTACCATTAACTGTATAAGTCTTGCCCTGATTTGCTTTTTTACATTTATCTAAGTTGATCCCCATCTGCCATTCCTCGGCCCATTGGCCCATCTGATCCAGACCTGCCTCCAATATGGCTCAGATGTGTCTGACCACACCCTGCCACATTAAAAGCGTTAATCGACAATGCCTCTCAGTCACATCGAGGAGGCAGAACCTGTTCCAGTTGATCCATCACTCAGGGAAGTATCTTACTTTGAGTGCTGGTCTGCCTGAGTACTCTGTCGCCTCATGCCTGTGTGTTCTGGCTCTAGCCACATGCAGCATGAGGGGAAGGTGCTGAACTCATTTCTTCAAGAGTACTCCCCTCACTCAGAGACAGTGGCAGACTGGAATGTTGTTCCACTTGTCTGGCCAGGCCACGAGGGTAGAGAGACCGCAGACACACATGTACTCTTCCTCTTTTAAAGCCATTCTACTCCGACCTTCCCTGAGCCCACCCCAGCTCACAACTCCATGAAAATTCAGTCCATTATAACAATTTTATTTTATTTCACTCATGGAACATGGGTGTCACTAGCTGCCCTTGAGAAGGTGGTGGTGAGCTGCCTTCTTGAACCGCTGCAATCCACCTGCTGTGTGTTGACCCACAATGTCATTAGGGAGGGAATTCCAGAGACAATGGTATATTTCTAAGTCAGGATGATGAGGGGCTTGGAGGGGAACTTGAAGGTGGTGGTGTTCCCACATATCTACTGGAAGTGGTCATAGGTTTGGAAGGTACTGTCTGAGGACCTTTGGTGAATTTCTGCAGTGCATCTCATAGTTAGTACACACTACGGTAACCGAGCATCGGTGGTGGAGGGAGTGAATGCTTGTGAATGTGGTACCAATCAAGCGGGCTGCTTTGTCCTGGATGATGTCAAGCTTCTTGAGTGTTGTTGGGGCTGCACTCATCCCAGGCAAGTGGGGAATATTCTATCACACTCCTGACTTGTGCCTTGTAGATGGTGGACAGGCTTTAGGAGGTCAGGAGCTGAGTTACTCACTGCAGGATTCCTAACTTCTGACCTGCTGTTATAGCCACTGTGTTTATGTGGTGAGTCTAGTTGAGTTTCTTGTCAACGGTAACCCCCAGGATGTTGATAGTGGGGATTCAGTGATGGTAATGACAAGAGGCAGTGGGTAGATTCTCCCTCGTTAGAGATGGCTATTGCCTGGTGTTGAAGCACTTCTTATCAAACAGAAAAACATGCAGGACAGGACGTCATGCTGAGGTTTTACAGGACATTGTTGAGGCCTCTTCTGGAATACTGTGTCCAGTTCTGGTAGCCCTGTCATAGGAAGGATATGATTAAGCAAGAGAAGGTGCAGAAGAGATTTACTACAATGTCAGCGGGGATGGAGGGTTTGAGTTATAAGGAGAGTCTGGATAGGCTGGGATTATTTCCACTGGAGCGTAGAAGGTGACCTTATAGAGGTTTATAAAATCATGAGGGGAAGTGTCTTTTCTCTAAGGTGGGGGATTTCAAGACTAGGGAATACATTTTTAAGGTGAGAGGAGAGAGATTTAAAAAAGACTCGAGGGACAATTTTTTTTACACAGAGGGTGGTTCGTGTGTGGAATGAACTGCTAAAGGAAGTGGTCGATGTGGGTACAGTTACAACGTTAAATGACATTTTGGATAAGTACATGAATAGGAAAGGTATTGAGGGATATGGGCCAGCAGCAGGCTGGTGGGACAAGTTTAATTTGGGATGATGGTCCACATGGTAGGACGGAAGGGTCTGTTTCCATATTGTATGACTCAATGACCCATTTTAAAAGGGTAACAAGCAATATCACTCACGAATGAACATTCATACCTTGTAGAATATTAGCATCAGGTCATCTAATTTTCCATGTAAATCTCCTGAAAGGCATCACAAAAAGATATGATTAAAGATAAAAATAAAACATCTGGTCCAGTTTTGGTGTCAGCTGGTAAGTTTCATGTTCTCTGCGAGCGCAGTCAAACAACTGATCAACTAATGATACAGACCGAAGACTGAAACAGAGGGAAATAAAAACAGAAATGTACAATAATTCCTCAGCAGGTTAGGCAGCTGCCTGTACAAAGAGAGAGAAATAAGAGTTAACATTGCGGATCAACGATTTTTAACCAGATTGGACATAGCTAGGTGCCAGAGACAAAAATAAACTGCAGATACTGAACTCCAAGGTAGACAAACAGGAGGCTGGAATAACACAGCAGGCCAGGCAGCATCTGGAGGTAAGGAAAGGTTAATGTTTTGGGTATCACCCTTCTTCAGGACTGGATGTAGGGGTAGGGGGAGCTGCAGATAAAGAGAGGGGGAGCGGGGTGTTAGAATGGTGGTGATAGGTGGACACTGGTAATAGGTACAACCTGGTTGGTCGTTGGGAGGGATGAATCCAGCTGGTGGCTGGAAGGGAGGGCCAGAAGGTGGAATAGAAGGGAGGAGCTGGGGCTGGAAAGGGAGCCGGGGGATGGGTGGGAAGGTTATTTGAAGATTGACTCACTGTTGAGTCATCCGGGCTGTAGGATGCCCAGGTGGAAGATAAGGTGTTGTTCCTCAAATTTGTGTTCTGAGTCGCTGTGACACTGGAGGAGGCCGAGGATGGACATGTCGGGGGGGGGCAGTTGAAATGGGCGGTGACCAGGAGGTTAGGTTGGCTGTTATGGGCCAGGCAGAGATACTCAGTGAAATGGTCACCCTAGTCTACGTTTGGTCTCACCAACATAGAGAAGGCCACATCGGGAGAACCGGATGCAGGAGACTGGGTTGGAGGAGATGCAGGTGAAGCTCCATCTCACTTGTAAGGATTGTTTAGGGCCCTGGATGGAGGTGAGGGAGGTCGTGTGTGGGCAGGTGTTGCATCTTTTGCAGTTACAGAGGAAGGTGCCGGGTGGGTTGAAGTGGTTGGTGGGAGTGTGGTGCGAACTAAGGAGCAGCAAAAGGAAAGGTCCTTGCGAAAGGGAGAGAGGGGTGGGGAGTGGAAGGTGTTCCTGGTGGTTGGGACTAATTGGAGTTGGCTGAAATGCTTGAGGATGATATGTTGGATGCGGAGGCTGGTGGGGTGGAAAGTGAGGACAAGGGGAACCCTATCTTTATTATGTTTGGAGGGGGGGGTGGTTAAGAGCTTTGGAGCAGGGAATGGAGGAGGCACGGTAGAGGGCTGTCTGGATGACACAGAGTGGGGGCAAGATCGTTGTTTGAAAAAGGCAGACATCCAGGGTGCTTGGGAATGGAACGTCGCCTCATCAGAGCAGATGCGACGGAAACGGAAGAATTGGGAAAATGGGATGGAGTTTTTGCAGGATACAGGGTGGGAGGAGGCGTAATCGCGAAATGAAAATGGAAAGGTCAAGAAAGGGGAGGGAGGTATCTGAGGTAGACCAAGTGAATTTGAGGGTGGGGTGGAAGTTGTTCACAAACTCGATGAACTTTGCTCGGTGTCCTTTGCCAGCGGGCTCCAAATAATTATAACATTTAGTTTTTCCATGTTGTAGTCTCTATTGTGATGAAGAATTCTTCTAAGAAAACACAAGCCCTTTTCTCCCACCATATGTTGGCTTGTCCTTTTTGAACACATCCCGTATTGTCAGTGAGAAGAGTGGATTGTTACATGGCCTGCACCCTGATTACTGTATAGCTGTACCCCTACAGAGACTGTCTGAGCAAATACAAAACTACCAGAACTGACCTGATTGAGAATAACCAACAACCTTGTAGCCTCACAGCCTCAGACCGTGTGGGAACTACCTGACGCCCAGCTCCTGGAAGCAGATGACATGGCCAAGGATCAAATCACAGAATCAAAGCAGTGCAGCAGTCCATTCAACCCATCATTACTATTACTTAGTGCCAATCTCCTGCCTTTTCCACAAAGCCCTGCACACCATTTCTGTTGAAATAACCATCCAGTGCCCCTCTTGAAAGCCTCAATCGAACATTTCCAGGCAGTGCATTCCAGACCCTGTGTGAAGTGGACTTTTCTCACACGTGGCCATGACACATTGGAACAAAAGTAGGCCATTCAGCCCATCGTGTCTTCTCCACCTCCAATGAGATCATGGCTGATCTGATCATCCTCAGCTCCACTTTTCCCTATAAACCTGGATTCCTTACCCAATTCAAAAATCTCTCTATCTCCACCTTGAATATTTTTAACAACTCAGCCTCAAAGGCCCTCTGCGGTAAAGAATTCCACAGATTCACTACCCTCTGAGAGAGAAAAAAAAATTCCTCCTCATCTCTGTCTTAAATGTAGAACTGCTTACTCTGTGAAGATGCTGTCTGGTCCTGGAGTCTCCCACAAGGTGGAAAGAAACGCTCGACACTTACACCATCTGGGCCAAGATTACCTCTCATTCTTCTATATTCCAATCACTTCACGTCAATCTATTCAACCAGTCCACACTAGACATAACCCTTGTTCCACTTGTGCCTCACTTTAAACCTTGTTCTTTTCTTCTTTTACAAGGGAAGCAGTTTCCCTCTATCTACTCTGTCCAGTCCCTGCTCATGATTTTGATAACCTCTATCAGATCTCCTCTCAGCTTTCCTCTCCCCCAGGAGGACAGCCTCAACTTCTTCAATTTATCCTCATCACTGACATTTCTCATCCCTGGAACCCTTCTTGTAAATCACCTTTGCTCTCTCTCTCCAACGTGTTCACAACTTTCCTGTAATAGGGCACGCAGAACTGTATGCAATACTCCAGCTGAGGTCTAACAAGTATATTATACAAGTTCAACATCACCTCCCTGCTCTTGTCCCTCTATTCCCCTGTTAATAAAGCCAAAGACACTGCGTGCTTTATTCACTGCTCTCTCTTCCTGTCTTACCACCTTCAGTGATCTGTGACATATACACCCTGGTCTCTCTGCTCCTGTGCCCCCTTTAGAATTGTACACCCGAATTTATATTGTTTTTCAACATTTTTCTGAACAAAGTGCATCACCTCACACTTCGCTGAGTTGAGCCTCATCTGTCACTCGTCCATCCACTCCACCAACATACCAATGACCTTAGGGAGTTCCACCCTATCGTCCTTGCAGCTGACAATGCTTCCAGCTTTAGTGTCTTCTGCTGCAGATTTGTACAAAACAGAATGTATTACTCACCTGTATTCCAATCGTTCTGCACTATGCTGTTACCCACATCAACCTCACGTTTAATTGTTTAAACTTAAATATCTTGAGATGGTTCTTCTGACAGTGTGGTGCTAAAAACCTCTCTCCTTTTCAAATGCCACTTCACCTGACGAAGGAATTACGCTCTGAAAGCTTGTGATTTCAAATAAACCTGTTGGATTATAACCTGGTGTCGTGTGACTTCTAACTTTGTCCACCCCAGTCTAACACCGGGTACCCCCACATCATTTCAAATACTTGAACAAACCACTTCTGCTCTCAATGAAATGGTCACTGACCTTATTTCTTTGCATTTAATGCTGCTGAAAATGAGGGATAATTCGAGAGTCCCCTGCAGACCTGCAGACATTATCACCCTCACACACACACAAAATAATCTGCATCAAATGACAAGCTCATTAGGAAAATAAAACAAAATTGTCTTTGCTGTGGCCAATCGAGGAGTCATAATGCAACAATGGGAATCAAAATCCTTTACCACAGATGGTTATCTCCTTGGAGTAGCATGTTGAAATGTGCGTGATGTTCGGCATCTGTTTCAAGGCCTTCCTGGTTTCGTGCAGGAGCTGGAGCACGTAGCGGCCATGAAGCTGCTAAAACATCAAAGACATTTTTCAGGAAGCGGACCTTTATTAAATTATAGAATAATTCTACAAAAGTTTATTCCACTGCAGCAGAGAAACTGTTTCCTTTCTCTCTCTCTCTTTCTCAGCTCTCTGTTAAACCCCCAAAAGGGGTATCTGACTTTGGAATCCTTTGACTCAGGCGACAGTGAAGGCTGGGACGGTATTTAAAACAGAGCGGGGGATAGATTCTTGTTTGGCGGGGAATCAAGCGTTTTTCAGGACAAATGTGGAATGGAACACAAAGGGGTCGGCCACGGTCTTATTGAATAGTGAGCAGGATCGAGGGACTGAATGGTCCATTTCTGCTCATGTTTGAGCATTGGTGTTTTCCATGGTGACATTCCTAAATCAGTAGAATTGCACCTTGTGTACCCACTTATATGGATGCAAGTATCTAGAATGATGACCTTGACTGCAAAATGTGCAGAAAATTACTCAACCCCATCCTTACCAATCTGCCAGCTGCAGTTGTATCTGTCCATGACAGTATTGGTAAGAGTGACCACCGCACAGACCTTGGGGAGACAAGTCCCACCTTCACATTGACAATAGCATTCACTGTGTCATGTGGCACTATCACCCAGTAAATGGGACAGACTTCGCACAGATCTAGCAACTGAAGACTGGGCATCCATGACATGGTGTGAGCCATCAACAGCAACAGAATTGTACTCCAGCACAATCTGTAACCTCATGGCCCAGCATATCCCCCACTCAGCCATTACCATCAAGCCAGGGATCAACCCTGGTTCAATGGAGAGTGCAGGAGGACATGCCAGGAGCAGTAACAGGTATACCTGAAATAAAGTATCAACCTGGTGAAGCCACCAAACACTTGCACGCCAAACTGCGAAAGCAGCAAGTGTTAGATAGAGCTAAGCGATCCCACAACCAACGGATCAGATCTAAGCTCTGTATTCCTGTCACATTCAGTCATGAATGGTGGCGGATGATTAAACAACTCAATGGAGGAGGAGGAAGCTCAACGGAAGGTGACACATTGTCAGTTTCCATGTGACCATCAGCAAGGCTGTAGGAAGGGAACAGTTGGTTCTTTGATTGACAAACAGATCCTGGAGCCTGGCATTTACAGAGTGGTGACCTCTCTTGGAGATGAGTATGTGAGCACATTTATCCCCATTTAGGTTATGCTCTTGATTATTACTTCACAGGATGTGGGTGGGCCAGACATTCATTGCGTACTCCTAGATGCCCTTGAGAAGGTGATGGCAAGCTGCCTTTTTGAACCACTGCAGTCCGTGTGCTGTAGGGACACCCTCATTCAGGCTTCATTGTGGTTGGATACAGCTGAATGGCTTGAGGGCAGCTTAGAATCAATAACAATACTGGGAGTCTGAACTCTCAGACCAGCTAAGAGGCAGCAGATTTTCCTTCCCCAGAGGGCACTGAAACCAGATGGGTTTTTCATAGAATCCCTACAGTGTGGAAGCAGGCCATTCGGCCCATCAAACTCCACACAGACAGTTGCCCGAGGGTGGAATCAAAGCCAGGTCCCTGGCGCTGTGAGGCAGCAATGCTAACTGTTATCACTTTGTGGTCACCATTAGATCTTAATTCCAGATTTTTACTGAGTGCAGTCATTGCTGTGGTGAGATTTGAAGACAGGTCCTGAAAGAATTAGCCTGGGCCACTGGGTCAATAGCACCTCCCCCTGGTGCTGGAGGGGATGATGTCCAGTTTGATACACACTGCGTTCTGATAGCCCCCACAATAACTTGACATGTGTGCCATGGTGACAGTGTCCAGGGCCTTGGGGAATCTTACTCTCTGTCCAGGTACAAATACACAGTGACTCACTTGCTGCTGTTTGAATGTTTTAAGCAATGTACTGGCATCTGCAACAGTCAGAGGGAAGGACAGTCGAGGGCCAGTGTAGGAATCAGGAACATTGATGCTTTCATATTCTGCCTCCTGCTCGGTGTCTGAATTGTCGCCCGTGTGTCCTGACGGGGTCAACAGATGAGAAAGCCAGTCTGCAGAAGGAAAACAATCCGATGGGATAGGTCAGAAGGGAATGTGCCATCAGGGAACACGTTCAAGAAGCTGGGAACTGAGAGCTCCTTTAGACATGAGGATTTTCACCTTGTCACGAGTGAGTTTACGAACTGTACACACACTTGGGAGCACAAACGCTCAGCAATGGTTGCACTTTGCACAGGGGCTACTGCAATATCTCGGTGAAACTGAGTCATACAGCGCGGAAACAGACTTTTTGGTCCAACTCGTCCATGCTGACCATGCCGTTCATGCTAGTCCCATTTGCCTGCATTTGGCCCACATCCCTCTAAACCCTTCCCATTCATGTACCCATCCAGATGCCTTTTAAATGTTGTAATTGTACCAGCCTCCACCACTTCCTCTGGCAGCTCATTCCATACACACACCACCCTCTGTGTGAAAAAGTTGCCCCTCAGTTCCCTTTTAAATCTTTCCCCTGTCACGTTAAACCCATGTCCTCTAGATTTGGACTCCCCCAACCTGGTGAAAAGACTTTGTCTATATACCCTAACTATGCCCCTTTGACTTTATAAACCCTTATAAGTTCACCCCTCAGCCTCCAACACGCCAGGGAAAAAAAGTCTCAGCCTGTTCAAGATGGGACTGAATGGAATCTCAGAGACATCCATGTTGGGTTATCGAGACTGGGAACCCTCCCCTCTCCCCTTCCGACAGAAGCACCGTCCAGCACTGGCCCAGCTCTCTTTAGGCCTAGAGCCTCAGGGAAAGCCTGGCCATCTCCAAGACGATCTCCCAGGCAGGAAAAGCCTTAACCACCAGCACAAGATTCAGACATGGAAAAGGTTCTCCATTCATACATCCGTCTGTGGACAGAAGATGCCTCTCTCTATCATAGCCCAGCCTACACTGTATTCCAACTACAGGAGCTATTCCTCACTGTGCCTGGCTGCTTAATGATTGGCATTTGGTTTAAATATCAACATACAGAGGGGAGGCAAAGGCCTAGTGATATGATTGTGGGACTGTTAACCCAGATAATGTTCTGGGGACTCAGGTTTGAATCCGACCATGACAGATGGTGGAATTTAAATTCAATAAATAGCTGGGATTAAGACACTAATGATGATGATGAGTCCATTGCCAACTGTTAGAAAAACCCATCTGGTTCATGAATGCCCATTAGGGAAGGAAACTGCCATGCTCACCTGATCTGGCCTACACGTAACTCCAGACCCATAGCAATCTGGTCGACTCTTAATTGCTCTCTGGGCAATTAGGGGTGAGCAATAAATTCTGGCCTAGCCAGAGATGCCCTCATCCTGTGAATGAATAAAGGAAAAGCTTTCCTCATCTTTCCCCATTTATATAATATTCAGCTCCTCTATTCTTTCTGCCAAAGTGCATGTTCTCACTCTTCCCTACATTATATTCTATCTGCCACGTTTTTGTCAGCTTACTTCTGTAGACTATCTGTGTCTATCCTCACTGCTTGCCTTCCCACTTATTACTGCAACATCTACAAACCTAGTGATAGTACATTTATTTCCCTCATCCAAGTCTTTCATATCTATTGTCAATAATTGTGTTCCCAGCATTGATCCCTGTGGCACTCAACTAGTTACAGGTTGTCATCCTGAAAATACCCATACCCTCATCCCATCTCTCCAGTATCTGCAGCCCCCACCTATTGGGACAGTACCTGACAATTCACCTCATGGCTCATTTCTCCCCAGTGGGGCTGTTGACAGCGAAGCCTTGACACTAAGACTGGGATCTTGCTGATCAGTGTTGCCACATCTGAAGGTTTCCCCACAACCGCCATAACTCTTCAACCCTGCCCCCTCTGCTGCCTTTGGCCATCAGTCCCTCACACCATTCCATCTTCCCCAACCAATCAGAAAGTGAACAGCTCCTCATCATCTGGTTTTATTTTCTCAGGAGATGGGGGCATTGCTGGCGATGCCAGCATTTGTTGTCCCCTACCTAACTGGCCTTGAAACAAATGGCTCTCTAGGCCATCGCAGAGGGCATTTAAGAGTCAATCACATTGCTGTGGGTCAGGAGTTACATGTAGGCCAGACCAGGTAAGGATGGCAGTTTCCTTCCCTAAAGGACATTAGTGAACCAGATGGGGTTTTCCAACAATAATTAATGAACTTCATGGTTTTAAACTCAAGATTAATTCAATGAATTATAAATCCCACTGTGTCCCGTGGTGGGATTTGAACCCACAGGTCTGGATTATGAGCCTAGTAACATGAGCCCTACTCCACCATCGCTCACATGGTCTAGTTCAATAACACAATCTCTGTTATTTGTATAACTAGTAAATGAAAGATGTTCCAAACACAGTGAGGGGCAGGGTCTTATTTGGATGGCAGGGTTTCCCATCATCCCTCATGTATGCAGACATGTGACATTCAAAGGAGCATTCATTGGCTGGAGTTAAGACTTCTCTCTTCACACTGGAGGATGTCCTGTCTCTTGAGAGTCGCCAATCCAAGGGGCTGGTGGGGTGAGAGTTGTTTTTTAAATTCATTCATGGGATGTGAGCACCACAGGCCATTCATTACCCATCCCTAATTGCCTATTGCTGTGGGTCTGGAGTTACATGTAGGCCAGACCGGGTAAGGATGGAAGTTTCCTTCCTTAAAGGACATCAGTGAGCCTGATGGGTTTTTCCGACAATCGACAATGGATTCACGGCATCATAGAATCATATGGCACGGAAACAGTGGGATGGAGAGGTGAGACCTGGAGGGAGGCTTGGTTGGACAGTCTGGATGGGTAATTACCACTCGCTCCCACCCCCAGTCCCACCCCCTTGAACTGCCCCCTCACTATGGAAGCCCAGGCAGGAACTGGCATTTGAGTGACCAATAACCATCCACAGAAGAGCCTGCATTGAGGGGAGGATGTGCTGGCCATCTTTGAATCTGCACTCCCATCCTTCCCCCTGCCCTGGAAAACTGTGTCAGGACTGGTAGGAGAGAGGGCAGATGGAAGGCCAGCAGGGGTATCGTACAGGCCTCTCTCCACTGTCCCTATCTCCCCCTGAAACCTTCCAACAAACCCATCAGCGAGGGCTCCATAACATCCTGCCAATACTTGTAACACTCCTGTGATGGGTTCCTTTCTTTTTCCCTCCTGGTCAATGGGACAGTGCCAGGAGCACTGCTGGGAAAATCAGGAATGTTGGCAGAACTCTACAGTGCCACAGTCACATTCGGGTTCATTCATCCCAGTAGCCTCTTGGGAGGAAGGGAAACATATTAGAATCCAGCAGCTCCCCTGTGTACACAGCACCCATACTCCAGAAAGGCAGCCCCTCAACACAGCTTACAAACTCCTACATCTGTCAATTATGAAGGTATAGAACAGAAGCTAAAAACAACACGAGAATTTCACAACATCAAATTTCGCACCAATTGATTGTATCAGATTATTATGATTTTGTTGAAAATGAACTTAATGATTCACCACAGATCAGCAAAGGTAGATTCATGGAGAGGTTAAAGACACTGTCTTGTTCACTGAAATACAGCTGTTTGGAGACTCAAGTGTGTACATGCAGCAATTACCGTGATTAGGAGTAATTGATACTTCTCAAATTATGGCGAGTGTCTTATTATAGAGACAAGAAGTCCTGTGTACCACACAAGCTCAAACCTGCCAGGCTTTTAGGCAGGAGGTTAGTGAGGACAGATGGGCAATGAACAAAGCTACTTGTTCCATCCGAGAGAAAAGGGGAGGGTATGTCCGGTAAGGAGTAACACTTTCGAGGGGGATCCAGAGAGGACAGAGGGTCAAGGGATGGGGAGAGATTGAGAAGCAGAGATTTGCTAAACCAACTGATCTTTCTTTGTTCACAATCCCTCTCAGATGATCCATGATCAGCATTAGTTTGCTAAAGAACCTTGTATGTTGGTTAGGAATCATCTGAGAGGGGTTACAAACCGAGAACAATTTCACAGTTTTAAATATGGCAATGAGTTGGCAAGAAATATCAAGTTTGATGATGTTATTGTGTCAGTTTTCTTTCTATCAATTTCACGGTGTCATGGTTACCCGGGTGTCACTCTCTCATTCTCAAATACTCAAAGACACGTTTAGGATTTTCCCAAATTGTCTGTATCTTCTGTGAGTTTTCAGTCTCATTGGGTTCTTGGGTTACACTTGTTAAAGTGATATTTACAGCACCTTCACTCCTGTTGTAAAATTTGAGACAAGTGAGTGTAATGTGGAGAAACGTTGGGAACGTTCGATTATGATGGTCAGCATGAGTAATTGTGAAGAACTTCTATTAAAGAAAACAGAATTGTGAAAGGGAACAGAATAAGGTGCATGTTTGACGTGAGGGGAGGATTAACAGGACTGGAAATTGGTGGGGGGTGGGGGTTGGGGGTGGGGGGGGGGGGGCACACGGTGCAGTGCTGGAAACTAGAGGAGTACCACCACCATGATTCCTCTTCCTAACCCTGGGTTTAGGACACATTAGTCTAAGCAATAACAGTGATCAAGCGTTGAGGAGACTGGTGGATATAGATCTTCACTGCCTGAGATCCTCCAGTGCTCCCCCTTATCCCCACTCGAACCTCGATGACATACAAAGGTACAGATTATACACTGGAGGAGGCCCCATCAAGCCTGCTCACCCATTTAATAAGATCATGGCTGATCAGAGTGTAGCCTCAAATCCACATTCTCATCTCGCTAAGTAAGGTTTCAACCATCTCCCGTTGCTCATCACAAATCTATCCACCTCTGCCTCAAAAATATTCTGTTTGAGGAAGAAGGAGATGGAATACACTGTCTGGAAATGAGGTGTAGGCAGGTTCAACTGAGGCATTGGATGGTTATTTGGATTGGAATAATGTGCAAGGGTGTGGGGAGAAAGCAGGGGGATGCAAAAAGATTTCCAAAGACTCATGACCCTCCCTGACCAAAGAAAACATTCTCCTCACCCTCTGCCTTAAATGAGCATCCCCTTCTTTTTGTAAAATAGTAGCCTCTAGTTCTGCATTCTCCCACATCATAAGATTGAGCGAACCTTAAGTTAGTGTCCAACATTAACTCTTTCAGAACCATTCCTACCTTAACAACAGTTCTTGCCCTCTGAAGTGGCAAGCCACTTGGTTCAAGGGCAGTTCGGGATGGGAAATAAATGCTGCCATTGCCAACCACACCTACATCACGCAAAAGAACGATGGTGTTGTAAAATAGAGGGACTCAGGGGTTCAGGTACATAATTCTTCGAAATTTCTGTCACATGTAGACAGGGTGGTTAAGAAGGTGTTTAGCGCACTTGCCTTCATTGCTCAGGCCTTTGAATATAGGAGTTGGGAAGTCATGTTGAGGTTGTACAGGATGTTGGTGAGGCCTCTTCTGGAATACTGTGTCCAGTTCTAGTCACCCTGATATGGGCTGGAGAGGGCTCAGAAGAGATTTACCAGGATGTTGCCAGGAATGGAGCGTGTGAGTTATAAGGAGAGGCTGGGACTTTTCTCACTGAAGCGTAGGAGGTCGAGGGGTGACCTTATAGAGGTTTATAAAATCCTGAGGGGTATAGATAAGGTGTTTTTTTTTCCCTGGGGTGGCAACTAGGGGGCATATTTTTAAGACAGCAGAAATATTTAAAAAAGATCTGAGGGACAACCTTTTTACACAGAGAGTGGTTCACGTGTGGAATGAACTTCCTGAGGAAGTGGTGGATGCAGGTACAGTTACAACATTTCAAAGACATTTAGATAAGTACATGCACATAAGAAATGTTTGGAGGGATATGGGCCCAGGGCAGGCAGGTGGGACTAGTTTAGTTTGGGATCATGGACTGTTTGGACCAAAGGGTCTATTTCCGTTCTGTATGACTCTATAAAGTAAAAAGAATAAAGATCCCTGACATAATGATCCCTCTTTGGTTGATTGCTCGTGGGAATACCTTCACATAGGGTCGTGAGCAGGACCGGGAAAAGTTAGACAGGCCTGGCTCATATCCTCTGGAGCTTAGCACCAATTGAGAGCTGTAAGTACCTGGGGTGGGGGGGTGGTGTCTTGAACCGGGTGGATGTAGAGAAGACATTTCCTCTTGTGGGGGAATCTAGAACTGGGGAGGGGAGGGGGTCACTGTTTAAAAAAAAACTGGGGTTGTACACTTAAACCAGGGATGAGGATAAATAATTTCCTCTCGGAGGTTCATGAGTCTTTGGTACACTTTGCCTCAAAAGTCATGCGGAGGCAGAGTCCTTGAATATTTTTAAGACAGTAGTAGATAGATTCCTGATTGACAAAGGGGTGAAAGACTATTGAGAACATGCAGGAATGTACAGTTCAAGTTACTATCAGAATAGCCATGATCTTATTCAATGGTGGAGCACATTAGAGAAACTGAATTGAGGTATAGACAGGGTGGATAGCAAGAAGCTTTTTCCCAGAGTGGGGGACTCAATTGCTAGGGGTTACAATTTCAAGGTGAGAGGGGAAATGTTTAAGGGAGATATGCGTGGAAAGTTCCTTACGCAGAGGGTGGTGGGTGCCTGGAATGCTTTGCCAGCGGAGGTGGTAGAGGCGGGCACAATAGCATCATTTAAGATATATCTAGACAGATACGTGAATGGGCAGGGAGCAAAGGGATACAGATCCTTGGAAAATAGGCGACAGGTTTAGATAGAGGATCTGGATTGGCGCAGGCTTGGAGGGCCGAAGGACCTGTTCCTGTGCTGTAATTTTCTTTGTTCTTTGTTCTTTGTTCTTTGAATGGCCTACTCCTGCTCTGGAACAGTGGCTCAGTGGTTAGCACTGCTGTCTTGTGGTATCAGCGACCCAGGTTCAATTCTGCCTTCAGGTGACTGTTTGTATAGAGTCTGCGTGTTCTCCCTATGTCTGTGTGGGTTTGCTCTGGCTTCCTCCCACAGGTGTGCAGGTTAGATGAATCAGCCATGGGAGATATAGGGTAGGGAGATTGGGTCTGGGTGGAATGCTATTTGGAGCATTGGTGTTGGGATGAATCGCCTGCTTCCACACTGTAAAGGATTCTAATTCATGTGTTTGTACATATATATGTACTCACTCTTCGTTGCTATCTATGCATCAGTGCTTGCCATTATCTACATGAATAAATGCACCTTGCTATATGCTGCAAAGATAACATGGTTATTCACTCAGCTTATAAAACATGTGTGTATTATGATAACTGTCAGTAATTTCTTTCTATAATATAATTAAAGTAAGAGTCTGTCCGGTGTCCAAAACACTCAGCAAAGCAGTGAATCATAAATGTGAAAAATTATTTTAAAGAATCACATCTCAATTAATTGTCAAGTCACTCGCTCTCAAAATATTTACAACAGAACATGAAGGAATAAGCTTCAAAACAGTTGCAAAAATGCACATTCATCTAGAACGCCTAAGTTTCTTTTTAAACAATGTCCCTTTGATGCTTTCAAATGCGATGAAAATTGCAGGGAGATGTTTGTTACTCACCACTGCCTGTCTCGCCTGACTGCACATAGTGGTTCATTAGAAACGAAAAGAAGTGGGACAGCTGGAAATGAAGGACATGACTCAGGTTATCAAAGGCAGCTCACGTCAACCCAAATCTGCAAGAACATCTGTACCACCTCGTGATACTGGGTTCACAACCCAACATCATTTCACAAAGCAAATGTAAATTAAAGACTGCACAGAGTTCAAAGGACTGTCCTCAGTGCAGTTACAAAATGGAATGATTATTGAATAATTACTCTTGAGTACAAAGCCAGACTCAGCCTTACCACAATTGTGCTTTTGTTACTACTTCATTAGCTGTGTTCAAAGTTGTACAGCGCCAATGCCATATTTAATAATAACATTGACTATAGTATATACCACCGTACCTGTCTATGCAGACATCCCTTTATACTTGTGAGAGCAATCCAGTTAACCCTCATCAACCCTTGCTAAGACTGCACTTGGAGCACTGTGTACAGTTCTCCATTTTATCAGAAGGACATGGAGACTCTGATCAAGGTGCAAAAAATAATTGACAAGAACAACACTGGGCCAGGAGCTGCAGATTGGAGTCCCACCAGGACTTGTTGGCGATGGAACATGGTCAACAAGTTGATTCTCAACCTTTAAATCCTTCTAATAGCCAGGATAGTGATAAGAGTCCTTTCAGTAAGTCCTGAGGGCAATTGCAAACTCCTGAATTGACTGTCTCACAAGGTCCATTTCAGAAAGTAGATGTACACATCACTATGGGTAGGGAGTCACATTTCGACCAGAACAGGAAAGGATGGCAGATTTCCTTCCCTAAAGGACATTGGTGAAGCAGAAGAGTTTTTAATGAAAACTGTTTACAATTTCAGATCTACGGTTGGAATTAAAATCCCTCCAGTGAGATTTGAACCTGTGCCCCCACAGCATTATCCTCAGCCTCTGGGTTATGAGTGCAGTGACATTGCCTGATGCTCTGTCTCTCCCTTGTACTCTTGGGCCCTGTTGATGAAGCCAAGGATACTGTATTCTTCACTAACTGTGCTGTGAACAAGTCCTGCCACCCTCAATGACTTGTACATGTAGACACCCGGGTTCTTCTGTGGCTGCACTACTTCAGAAATATTTTCCACCGTCTCTCCATGTTCTTCCTTCAAAATAGGTCGCTTCACACTTTTCTGTGTGGAACTTCATCTGCCACTTGTCTGCCCCTTCCTCCAACCATTACAATGTAATAACATTTGAACATAAGAACAATATAACTAGGAGCAGGAGTAGGCCATTTGTCCCCTCAAGCCTGTTCCACCCTTTGATACAATCGTGGCTGATCTCAACGTAGCCTTGACTCCACTTTACTGCCTGCTCTCCATCACTCTCCAACCTTTTACTAATTAAAAATCTATCTCCTCCTTAAATTTACTCCATGTCCCAGCATTTGCCGCACTCTGCAGTTGTGAATTCCATATACTCACAACTCATTAAGAGAATTCCTCCTCACCTCTGTTTTAAATCTGCTGCAGCTTATCCTGAAACTATGACCTCTTGTTCTAGATTGACCCACGAGGAAAAGTCCTCTCTTCATTTACATCATCAATCGTCTACTATACTATCTTCCTCTCAGTTCACAACGTTTCCAAGTTTTACATCATCCATGAAAATTTGAAATTAGCTCTAGATCATTAGTATAAGCAGAAAAAGTTGGGGCCCTAATACTGACCTCTGCAGAATTCACTACAAACTTTCTTCCAGCCCAAAAAATATCCATTGACCATTTCTCTGCTCCTGTCACTCAGCTGGTTTGGTATCCACATTGTCACTGTCCCTTTACTACCAGGGGTGAGAACTTTCCTCATAGGTCTATTATCTTTTAGAAGTCCACATATACCATATGTACAGCACTGCCCACATCAACCTTCTCTGCTACCTCATGAAAAAAAAACTACCCAACAAATTAATTAAACACAAATCCACTTTCACCAATGCCTTTGTCCAAATGATTTGTAATTTTGCCACAACTTATCATTTTGGAGAAGGTTGTCACTACTGAGGACAAACTGTCTGGTCTGTAGTTGCTGGGCATATCCTTACACCCGTTTTTAACTGCGGGTGATGTTTGCAATTCTCCAGTTCTCTGGGAATACTCTGAGTCAAGGGAAGGTGGGAAAATCAGGACCTGTGCATCCACAATTTTCCGTCTCACATCCATCAATGTCCTTAGATGCATCTCCTTTTGTTCCCGGGTCTTGTTCACTTTAAGTACAGATTACCAGGTTACCACACGACACTGACTGGGATTGGTCAGTGAGAATGCTATTCACCTGCAGTTGGTCTTGCTCTCCTGAATACTCAATAGATTGAAAAATGCTCCATGTGTAGCGACGTCTCATTTCCATTCGTGCCACATAACGACGATACCAGCCCTGAATCAGGATGGCTGCTTTAATCGCTGCACAGTGACGGGGGGATGGGGTGGGGTGGGGTGGGGGGACAATGTGAGAAACAGTTCAGAAACATTTACATTCAGTGAAATGGTGATGGATCACACACACTGACTCTCACGTGGATACAGTACAACATGGTCTGACCTGCTCTGGGGTACTGCTCCACAGAGACAGATTCCCACTGTGCTTTTGTTGCCAAGACTCTGACTCTCAAACAGGTTAGTGTCCCACAGACACTGACTCTCAAACAGGTTAGTGTCCCATAGACACTGACTCTCAAACAGGTTAGTATCCCACAGACACTGACTAACCTGTTTGAGAGTCAGTGTCTGTGGGACACTAACCTGTTTGAGAGTCAGTGTCTGTGGGACACTAACCTGTTTGAGGGTGTCCCACAATCACTGACTGTCAGACAGGGTTAGTGTCCCACAATCACTGACTCTTAGACAGGTTACAGTCCCATAGGCATAAACTCCCAAATAGGTTACAGTCCTACAGACACCATCAAACCTATATTTTTCTCCAGGTGTTATTTATCATTTGTGAATTGTAGGTATCATTCAGAAGGACCAATGTGCAACGTGTGACAACAGTACTGAAGGCAACATATCTCTCAGTGAGTATCCAGCGTTTAGCTTAAATCAGATTGTTGTATCATTCTCAGCTGGAAATACTATAGCAAATTGTGATACCAAAAATGAGATTGGCTTAGGAAAAAAATGGTTCAGAAACTATAGCCAGTGGGAATGAGATTTCAGAAAACAGAAGGATGGTGCAAATTGTAAGATAACTCTTACTGACTTCATCGGAACATTGTGATTCTCATGGTGTCTTCCTTTATGACAGAATTGGATTAGTAAGGACCAATGTTCATTTTACTGAAAATCTCATTCAGATTTGCTTAACAGACAAGCCAATGACCTGCAGGTAAAGAAGATGATACTTGCGCACACTCAGTAACATACCACTGCCTGGACTCTTCCTAGCTCCTGGACACATAGTGTCCTCCTCTCTTTGGCTCTCTACCACACTCTGCTGCTTAAGCAGTGGCATAACGTGCACAGGATTTTTGAATTGAATTTAACTCTGGATTCGTTGCCAAACCAGGGACAGTCTCACCCGCTGTCCACAATGTCAAAGCAGGAGGTGATGGATAGATCTGCAAATTCTCAAAATCACAATTCGCCATTGGGTGTGCACCTTAAGATCACTGACACTTCCTACCAGAGTACTCTGCAATTGGAATTCTTCATAAACTCATCCTCTGCTAGGAAAAATAAACAAACTCCACATTTCCTTTAACATCTGGAGTACTGTGTGCAGTTTGGGTCTCCTTACCTGAGGAAGGATGTTCTGGCGATGGAGGGAGTGCAGTGAAGGTTTACCGGGCTGATTCCTGGGACGGCAGGATTGATATATGAAGGGAGACTGGGTTGGCTAGGGCTATATTGAGCGGTGTTGAGAAGAATGAGGAGAGGGATCTGATAAAAACCCATAAAATTCTAACCAGACTGGATAGGGTAAACACAGGAAGGGTATTCCCAGTGACTGGGAAATCCAGACCAGGGGGTCATAGTTTAAGGATACAGGGTAGGCCATTTAGAACTGAGATGAGGAAAATTTCTTTTTCACCCAGACAGTGAATTCTCTAAACAGAAAGCTGATGAGGCCAAATATTGAATGTTTTCAAGAAGGTGTTAGACGTAGTTCTTAGGGATAAAGGAATCTAAGTGAACGGGGAGGAAGTGGAAACAAGGGACTGAGTTTGATGATCAGTCATTGCCTCCTCCTGTAAAATGTTTTATAGGAGTAGGCAGCATATACAAGGAGCTATTTGGCCCATTGATCCCGTGCTGGCTCTATGACAGTATTGCTGAATATTTTTCGCTCTGGTCTTTTCCCTTCCTTTCTAATTCAGTTATTTAACCAATTGCCTTATGAAGGTTATAATTGAGTCTGTCCGCACATGATCTTCCAGGCATCACAGCAACCTGCTGGGTGAAAACTGTTCCTTGCATTTTCAGTTTACTGGTTTCACCAACCTCTTTCCACTAAAAATGGACTCTTCTCATTTACACAATCAAAACCACCCACCATTAATAACAACCTTCTCAAATTTCCTCTTAGCGCTCTCTGTTCTGAAAAGAACAACACTAACTTCTCCAGACTCGTTTCGCCCTTGCTTCATTTGCATATCACTTTAAATCTATGTCCTCTCATTCTCTTTTCTTTTCCAAGTGTGAGCAGCTCCCCCCTATCAACCTTATCCAACCCCGGTCATGGTTTTGAAAACCTCTATCAAATCTCCTCCTGGCCTTCTTCTCTCCCAACTTCTTCAGTCTATCCTCATCATCCCTGGAACCCTTCCTGTAAATCACCTCTGCAGTCTCTCTCCAATGTATTCATGTCCTTCCTATAATGTGACTCCCACAACTGTACAGAATATTCCAGCTGGGGTCTAACAAGTGCCTTGTACAAGGTCAACATCACCTTCCTGGTCTTGTCCCTCTATTCCCCTATTGGTAAAGCCAAGGACACTGTAAGCTTTATTCACTGCTCTGTCTACTGTCCTGCCACCTTCAATGATCTGTAGACACCTGGGCCCTTGCACTCTCTTTAGAATAGTGTTCCTTATCTTATACTGTCTCTCTGTATGTTCTTTGTACTGAAACACAACACCTCACACCTCTTTGCATTGAACCTTATCAGCCACCTATCTGCCCACTCCACCAACTTGTCAATGTCTTTTTGGAGCTCTACACTGCCCTTCTCACAGTTTACATTCTCCCAAGTTTAGTGTCATGCATAAACTTTGAGATCATTGCCTGCACACCAAGATCCGTATCTTTTTCACGAAGAGCAAGGTTCCGAATACGAACCTTCCTACAGCCCGAAAAATACCCATTAACCATTAATAAAAGCGGAAAGCTTTGGAGAAATGTAGCAGGTCTGGAGAGAAAAACAGAGATAACATTGTGAGCCCAATGTGACTCTTTTTCAGAATTCAGGCCCACAGATGCTGTCAGACCTGCTGCGTTCTTCCAGCAATTTTTAAAGTTCAGATTTCCATCCTCCACAGCATTTTGCTTTTATTTAATTACCCATTAATCATTACTCTGTTTCCTATCCCTCATCCCATTTTGTTGTTCCTGTCCCCTTTATCGGGTTAAGATGGTGGCAAAGGAAGACGCTTCAGCTGGAGCTCCTCTGCTCACCAGCTCCTTGTCCTTTTTCTTTCTTTTCTTTTACTCTTGTTTGCAGTTTTCTTCTACGCCCCCAATCCCCCCCCATCATTTAACTTCTTAAAGTCCCCTGCCTGGAGGAAATGGGGAACGGGGTCCAAGACCAGGCCAGTGTGGGATGCGAGTGGTGACCGGATCCCAGAGAAGGAGCAGATTGTGCCCAGGCTGGCTGGGGGCGGGGACAAGTCCTGGATGGAGACCAGCATGTGGAGATAGCATGGCCTCATGTTGTGAAGCCTGGCAGGCACAAACTCAGTGAGAAAGGACTATAACTTGAGCACTTTAAAGGTACTTTTTTTTTATTCTCATTCTGGACTTTTTAAACTCTGTATTCCCATGCTAGTCTATTTTTATTTCTACTACTTCAATTCTGTAACAACACATAAACTATCTATACCTAGGTAACCCTGTGCCTAAGATGGCAACGAGAGACAACATTACAAACTTTTCACTGCACTCATTCAAGTGCACATGATAATAAAGGCTATTCCATTCTATTCTGTTCTATTCTATTCTGTGCTATTCTATTCTGTTCTGCTCTATTCTGTTCCATGCTCTATAACTTTCCTCACAAGTTTGTATTAAATGCCTTTTGGAAACCCATATGCACCACATCAACAGCATTACCGTCATCAATCCACTCTTCAAAAAATTCCAGCAAGTCAGCCAGACATGATCTTCCCTTAACAAATCCTTACTGACGCTTCTGAATTTGCTTGTGTTTTTTTATCCCAAATAACTGTCCCCCCACCACCAAAGTTCACGAGTGTATTATCAACCTGACACCTGTTGGAAGGATACTTTTCATTCTTTATCTTGATCTCTATCTCCTTTGTGACCCAGGGACCTCTGAGTTTGTTTGTCCTTCCTTGCTTTTTTTAGGGGATATTACCTCAACTGTATTCAAACTATCTATTCATTGAAGATAGCCCATTGTGGAGCTACTGTTTATCCATCAAGCTTTGGTTCTATTCTGTCTGGCCCATCTCCACTGAAGTCAGTTTCATTGAAACCCTATTGAAGCTAGTTCTCTGTTCATTGATAAGTTTTACTCTAGATTGTCCTCCGTCATTGTGAACCTTATGATACAATGACCACTTTCCCTAGAATGCTCCCCTTACTGTCACTTTACCTACTTGACCCAAGTCATTCGCAAGAAGCTGGCCTGACAGTGCCTCCTGTCTTGTTGGACTGGTCGCAAATTGTTGGCCTGTACACATTAGCAATCTCCCTGATGATGAATCAGTGATTAAGGTTCCCCATAACAGCAGAATTATTATGGACCATTCAGCCCATTGTGCCTGCAATGCTCTCTGAATCAGCATCTCACTTTGTGTCTTCCTTCTTCTTCTGCCTTTTATGGAGTCACAGAGTCATACAGCACAGAAAAAGACCCTTCGGTCCAACCAGTCCATGCCAAACATAATCCCAAACTAAACTAGTCCCACCTGCCTGCTCCTGGCCCATATCCCTCCAAACATTTCTTATTTATGAACTTACCTAAAATGTCTTTTGAACGTTGTAGCTGTACCCGCATCCACCACTTCCTCCGGAAGTTCATTTCACACACAAACCACCCTCTGTGTAAAAAAATTGTCCCTCGTGTCTTCTTTAAATCTTTCTCCTCTCACCTTAAAAATGTGCCCCCTAGTTTTGAAATCCATCACCCTAGGGAAAAGACACCTGCCATTTATCTTATTTATACCCATCATGATTTTATAAACTTCTATAAGGTCACCCATCAACCTCCGACACTCCAGCCT